CGTGATCACGCCGAGGCCATGCTCCCTGGCTCATCCCTTATTGGCTACAAAGCGGGACCGGCAAGCCAATCCCCACGTGAATCCTCTATGGCTGTTATTACAAGTCTATAATTTAATGGTAGGTTTATTTGAACAGTGAGAGACAGAATAACAACAAAAAAATCCAGAAAAACGCACGTCAAAAATGTTATATATTGATTTGCATTTTAATGAGGGAAATAATTATTTGACCCCCTCTCAATCAGAAAGATTTCTGGCTCCCAGGTGTCTTTTATACAGGTAACGAGCTGAGATTAGGAGCACACTCTTAAAGGGAGTGCTCCTAATCTCAGCTTGTTACCTGTATAAAAGACACCTTTTCACAGAAGCAATCAATCAATCAGATACCAAACTCTCCACCATGGCCAAGACCAAAGAGCTCTCCAAGGATGTCAGGGACAAGATTGTAGACCTACACAAGGCTGGAATGGGCTACAAGACCATTGCAAAGTAGCTTGGTGAGAAGGTGACAACAGTTGGTGCGATTATTCGCAAATGGAAGAAACACAAAAGAACTGTCATCTCCCTCGGCCTGGGGCTCCATGCAAGATTTCACCTCGTGGAGTTGCAATGATCATGAGAACGGTGAGGAATCAGCCAAAAACTACACGGGAGGATCTTGTCAATGATCTCAAGGCAGCTGGGACCATAGTCACCAAGAAAACAGTTGGTAACACACTATGCCGTGAAGGACTGAAATCCTGCACCGCCCGCAAGGTCCACCTGCTCAAGAAAGCACATATACATGCCCGTCTGAAGTTTGCCAATGAACATCTGAATAATTCAGAGGACAACTGGGTGAAAGTGTAGTGGTCAGATGAGACCAAAATGGAGCTCTATGGCATCAACTCAACTCGCCGTGTTTGGAGGAGGAGGAATGCTGCCTATGACCCCAAGAACACCATCCCCACCGTCAAACATGGAGGTAGAAACATTATGCTTCGGGGGTGTTTTTCTGCTAAGGGGACAGGACAACTTCACCGCATCAAAGGGACGATGGACGGGGCCATGTACCGTCAAATCTTGGGTGAGAACCTCCTTCCCTCAGCCAGGGCATTGAAAATGGGTCGTGGATGGGTATTCCAGCATGACAATGACCCAAAACACACGGCCAATGCAACAAAGGAGTGGCTCAAGAAGAAGCACATTAAGGTCCTGGAGTGGCCTAGCCAGTCTCCAGACCTTAATCCCATAGAAAATATGTGGAAGGAGCTGAAGGTTCGAGTTGCCAAACGTCAGCCTCGAAACCTTAATGACTTGGAGAAGATCTGCAAAGAGGAGTGGGACAAAATCCCTCCTGAGATGTGTGCAAACCTGGTGGCCAACTACAAGAAACGTCTGACCGCTGTGATTGCCAACAAGGGTTTTGCCACCAAGTACTAAGTCATGTTTTGCAGAGGGGTCAAATACTTATTTCCCTCATTAAAATGCAAATCAATTTATAACATTTTTGACATGCGTTTTTCTGGATTTTGTTGTTGTTATTCTTGTCTCTCACTGTTCAAATTAACCTATCATTAAAATTATAGACTGATCATTTCTTCGTCAGTGGGCAAACGTACAAAATCAGCAGGGGATCAAATACTTTTTCCCTCACTGAATATGGGTCTCTGTGTGGTGAGTCTATGGGCAACATCATTCCCAGAGTCGAACCGCCGGGATCCCTCTCGGGACCGCGCTATACCTAATAAATAAAATGAACTAATAAAATGAACTTGAACTTGAACTTATAACTGCTCTGGCGTGGCCGGGCTCCTGCCCTTGGCCACGCCCCCCTTCTCAAACCCTCGTGGGGACTCTGGGTCCCCGTCACGTGATCCTCTCACCCCCAACTGGGGGTCCACCTGCCTCTCTCGTCCGGTCACGTGCCCTCTCGGGTTCACCTCGCTGTCACGTCCTAACGCGAACTCTTTCTTAATGACACCCGGGCTCCGCCCTTAGAGTACCACTCCTCACTCGGAACTGTTGCTACACCATGGTGACACCCTCGAGGCCATTAAACGTACATACGTTGTCAAAGTTCAACATACACAAAAACCTTTGAAAGCCAACTCGCAGGCACGGTATTTTATTAGTTCACTTCTCTTCCCATCAGAGTTATGCCACTCCCATCGATGTCACACCAACTCACTTCTCGAAACAGATCTTAAATATCAGCCGGGGTCTGTGTTATGAGTTTATGGATTTGTGTGTGATGAGTCTACGGGTCTCTATGTGAGGAGTCTATAGGTATCTGCTTTATGAGTCTATGGGTCTTTGTGTGGTAAGTCTATGGGTCTTTGTGTGATGTGTCTATGGGACTATGTGTGGTGAGTCTATGTGTCTATGCTTGATGAGTTTATGGGTGTCTGTGTCGTGTGTCTATGTGTCTCTGTGTGATGAGTCTAAGGGTCTCGGTGTGGTGAGTCTACGGGTTTCTGTGTGGTGAGGGTATGGGTCTCTGTGTGGTGAGTCTATTGGTCTCTGCATTATGAGTCTATGGGTGTTTGTGTGGTGAGTTTATGGGTCTCTGCAAAATGAGTCTGTGGGTCTTTGCGTGGTGAGTTTATGGGTAGACACATACACACTATGGACGTTGCGATATTTTAGCATGCATACGTCAATACCTTGAGAAAGTCCAAAGTTCAACTTCCGCTCAAAGTTTGAAGGTCACTTCTCTTCCCATCAGAGTAATGCCACTCCCATCGATGTCACGCTAACTCACTTCTCGGAACAAATCTTAAATATCAGCCGGGGTCTGTGTGATGAGTATATGGGCCTCTATGTGATTAATCTATGTGTCTCTGTGTAATGAGTCTACAGGTCTCTGCGTGGTGAGTCTATGGGGATATGTGTGATGAGTTTACGGGTCTCTGTGTGATGAGTGTACAGGTCTTTGTGTGGTGAGTCTATGAGTCTATGTGTGATGAGTCCAAGGCCGTAGCTATGGAGTCAACATTGGAGGGGACCAAATCCTCCAGGCCCTCTCGGGGTCCCCCCCAGAAAAAAACATCTAAATTTGATAACTAATTTCCTGACATTTCCTGCCTAAAATATTTAAAAATTCACCAACACATGGGGATGGACTTTTTATTTATTTTTTAGAATAATGTCAAATAGTGCATTGTATTCCATTGCTCTATGTTTTTCTTTTTAACCTTTTCTTGTTTCATTGTATGTAATGGCAGAGATTAGGGATTAATAAAGTACAACCATAACCACAATCCATAGTCTTTGGTTCTCTCGGCAAAGTCCCGTAGTTAAAAAATAAATCAAATCACGACGTTTCGGGCGCAACACAAGTGTCCGTCATCAGGTGGAAAGCATGATCTGCTGCTAAGGCAGTCTGCCTCAGCAGCCTCAGTCTGCCTCAAAGAGTATGGATTCCTGCAGTCACGACAGCTTCAAATAAAGCTTATAACCACAATCATATTAACATAAATCATGTGAAGACAAGTCCACATATTGTGGCCAAGGTTTCGCAAATAGTTGTTTTTATTTACATTGCATTGCAATTTTCACTTTTTAAAAATATTTTGAGCATATGTGAATATAATTACGGCCTTGGATGAGTGTATGGGTCTCTGTGCGATGAGTCTACGGGTCTCTGTGTTGTGAGTCTATGGGTCTCTGTGTGGTGAGTCTACGGGTCTCTGTGTGGTGAGTCTACGGGCCTCTATGTGATGAGTCTACGGGGTTCTGTGTGATGAGTCTACGGGTCTCTGTGTGGTGAGTCTACGGGCCTCTATGTGATGAGTCTACGGGTCTCTGTGTGGTGAATCTACGGGTCTCTGTGTGGTGAATCTACAAGTCTCTGTGTAATGAGTCTATGGGTCTCTATGTGATGAGTCTACGGGTCTCTTTGTGATGAGTCTACAGGTCTATGTGTGGTGAGTCTATGGGTCTCTGTGTGATGAGTCTGTGGGCCTCAGTGTGGTGAGGCAATGGGTGTCGGTGTGATGAGTCTATAGGTCTCTGTGTGGTGTGTCTTTGCGTCTCTGTGTGATGAGTCTATGGGTCTCTATATGATGAGTCTACGGGTCTCTGTGTGATGAGTCTATAGGTCTCTGTCTGGTGAGTCTATGGGTCTCTGTGTGTAGCGTTAGAGCAATAGATCGCGCTACACTGCGCTGCGAAACAGGCGTCCCGAGTTGGATTCCCGCTCACAGCCAACACCAGTGGCAATTATCTACACCGGTACTGGGCCTCCCCTAGGTTGACTCAGCCTCAAATGAGGATCAGTAGCGATGTATAAATATCGCTACTGGGGAGACAAAGGCAGCCGGGCGTGGTGTTGGACAACCACCCACTTGCGTGCCGTTCCGGCCTTCATAGGTGCTCGATAATATCACTTGCTCCGAGAGTCTGCCAAGGCTATACGGGGGATCTTTGTATTTGCCTTTATGTTTGTATATGTACAGGTGTGTGTATGTACAGGTGTGTGTACGTGCAGGTGTGTGTGTACGTCAAGGTCTGAGTGTATGTGTACAGGTATGTGTATTTACAAGTGTGAGTGTATATGCAAGTGTGTTCATGCAGGTGTTTATGTGTGTACATGCAGGTGTGAGTGTGTGCATATGCAGGTGTGTGTGTATATATATATATTTTCAGGTGTGTGTGTACATGCAGGGGTGGGCTTATATGCAGGTGTGCCTACGTGCAGGTTTGAGTGTGTGTGCATTCAGGTGTGAGTATATGTAGGTATGTGTACGTACAGGTGTGTGTGTGTATGTGTGTTTGTGTGTATGTACAGGCGTGTGTGTGTACATTCAGGTGTGAGTGTGTGTATATGCAGATGCGTTTGTTTCTTTGCAACCTACCCCAGTTAGCTTGCCAGCCACATTTGCTGATGTTTAGCAAAGAGCTCAGACAAATATATTTGCACACCACCCGTAACTATTTTTATGGGATATGCAAATAAGTTTGTAGGAGTGTCTTCCCCGATCTTATTAGTCTCTAGGGCTTATGAAGTCTACCAGTTCACCACGCAGACACAGTCACTGCTCCAGGGATATCTCTCTCTCTCTCTGACTCTGCTACTCTGGCTCACTCAACTCGCCGACTTTCCATCCCAAAGGCGCCACAACGCCAGGCTCCACGACTCTAACCATGACTTGCTACCTGCCGGGTCTGCTCCTCGTGGTGTTGCTGTTCGTGAGCGGAGGTGAGACAACTTTTGCGTGGCGAGTTGTTTGTTGTTGCAACAACACCAAAGCAACGCCGATACTGCGATATATATAGATGTTAAGTACCTCGCCTGGTATACAGGATGTCGTGGGTTCGATTCTGGACTCTGACGTTGCCTGCTGTTGTATATTTGGATTCTGCGTGTCTCTCTTCCTGTGGAGATGTTAACTACGTCACCTGGTATACAGGAGGAGCATGGCTTCGATCACGGACTCTGATAATGTCTACTGCTGTATATTTGGAGTCTCTGTGTGTGTTTCTCTCCCCGTGGAGATTTAACTACCTTGACTTGTATACAGGAGCACGTGGGATCGATCCCGGACCCTGGCGATGCCTGCTGCTATACATGACTTATATCAGAAACAAAAAGTACCCAATAAATATCCACAACAAGTTACAACAACATAGTAAATATAACGCTTATCATTTACATCGATGTCACCGCAGTATTTCCAGCATCAACAGCTATTTCACGTTTTAATGTTTTGGTTTGTTTAGTTTCGGTAATCCACGGGCTGAACGATTAATCGATTTCAAATCCAAATCGCAATTTGAAACAATACGATTAGCAAATCGCAAAGGCTGCGATTTTTTCGGATTTGAAAAGTCCTATTACTTTCTTATTTTTCTTGTTTATTTATTATTATTGTAACTTAATTTATTGAACTTAACAATTGTTCTCTGTTTGATTTTTATATTTAATTTTTTTTTAATCAATGGCCGGCAAAATCCCATCACCACCTCCACGCGGTGCCGGCTGGATTCCAACCAACGGTGAGGGTCTTTGGCGTCAGATGGAGCGACCCACCGGCCAAAGTATTTCTGTGTCGCATCTATGGCAACGTCAAATCAACTTGGAACAAGCTAGGGCGCCCCTCGGGGGAAACGCGCGCCGTCCTCGCCCAAACGACGCGAGAAGTGGACGAGGGCTACCTGCTCATGGATGGGGCAGGCTAAAGAAGTTAGTCCGACTACGGCTGGGAACACTCAACATCGGAACATTGACAGGGAGAAGTCGAGAATTGTCAGCTGCCCTAAAGGCCCGTCGTATCGACATCGTATGCATCCAAGAAACGAAGTGGACTGGAGCAAAGGCCAGGGAGATTGGAGAAGGATACAAACTGTTCTACAATGGTGAAAGAAACACCAAGAACGGCGTTGGAATCGCAGTCAGCCAAAATCTACGAGACAATGTCGTGGCCGTCCACCGTGTTTCCGACCGCCTCATGTCCATCGAAATCGACTCAAACGACCTACGCCTCCGGGTGGTATCTTGTTATGCGCCGCAGCCCGGCTGCCCAGCAGATACCAAGGAGGAATTTTGGGAACAATTTGATGGACACATGCAATCGATAAATGGAGAAGAGCAGTTAGTAATTGGTGGAGACCTAAATGGACACGTTGGAAGCGCCCGGGATGGATACCCTCGAAACCATGGTGGCCAAGGATATGGTACCCAGAACGATGAGGGAAACCGAGCCCTGGACTTTGCGGAAGCCCATGATCTTGTCCTCGCCAACACCTTCTTCAAGAAGAGATCTCTCATCTCATTACGTACGCCAGTGGTGGGAGATCAACTCAAATTGATTACTGGCTTGTCAAGCGGGATGGGCTGGGGACGGTGGCAAACACTAAAGTCATACCGTCGGACGGCATCGCCCCACGGCATCGCATCCTGGTCATGGACATAAAAATGGACATTGGCCAGCGACGTCGCCCACCAACAACTGGACAGCAGCGAATTGGGTGGTGGCGGATGAAGGAATGCAAGGATCAGCTGAGAGTCGCCTTTAATCAGATTGACGTGAACACCAACCGACCAGCGAATGCGATTTGGGAAGATCTCGTCGGCCAACTGTGCACAGCAGCAACGGAAGCACTGGGGCTAACTAAGCCGGGAAAACACTTCATTGACAAGCAAATATGGTGGTGGAACGAAGAAGTTCAGCTAGCAGTGAAAGAGAAGAAGCTAGCTTTCAAGAAGTGGCGCCAAACGCTCGCAGATCTGGATTACCAACAATACAGAAACTGCAAATCGGCAGCGAAGCGAGTAGTTGCAGCGGTGAAATTAGCTCAATACGACCAACTGTATGTCGAACTGGACACCCCAGAAGGTGCCAATAAGATCTATCGACTGGCAGAGGCGCGCCATCGTTCGACTCAGGATATTGGTCAGGTCAAATGCATAAAGGATGAGAATCACAGCGCTCTCAGAGACCCGCCCGCCATCCTTCAACGCTGGAGCGACTACTTCTCTGGAATCTGCACCCAGGAATTTCCCCACCCACCTATTATTAGCGCTGAACACGTCCTCGGTCCGGTTTCACCTATCACCATCACCGAAGTGGAACAAGCTATCGGGAGAATGAGGAATGGGAAGGCGACTGGCCCGGACGATGTCCCTGCTGAGGTCTGGAGGATCCTTGGCAGGCAGGGTGCTGCCCTCCTTGCCCAGCTCTTCAGCACCATCACGAGCACCAGTGAGGTCCCAGAAGCCTGGTCGACCAGCACGACGGTTCCAGTTTGGAAGGGTAAAGGGGACGTGGCAGAATGCTCGAATTACAGGCCAATCAGGCTCCTGTGTCATGCGATGAAGATCTTTGGGCGAGTTTTGGACACGAGGATTGGAGGCATCATCGCCCTGTCACCCAACCAATGCGGCTTCGTCGGAGGGTGTGGCACTGCGGACGCCGTGTTCGCGGCGGGGCTCCTGCTGGAGAGGCACAGGGAGAAGAACAAAGCTGTGCACGTGTCGTTCCTCGACCTTGAAAAGGCATTTGACAGGGTCCCCCACGACCTCATCTGGCACTCGCTTCGATCCCATGGAGTCCCTGAAACCTACGTGCATTGGGTGCAACTCCTATACAAGAACGTCACCAGTGCAGTCAGGTGTGCAGTGGGCATATCACCGCCATTTCCCATCAGCGTTGGAGTGCACCAAGGATCGGCCCTGTCACCACTCCTGTTTATCCTGTGCATGGACACGATCACTGCCGACCTGCACACGCCCCTTCCATGGTCAGTTCTCTACGCGGATGGCGTCCTCCTCTCAGATGAAGAGAGAGGAGAAGTGGAAAGACAAACGCGCCTGTGGAAGGAGCGTTTGGACGAAAACTGGATGGGGTTCAGCATCGAAAAGACGGAGTATATGGAGTGTGGCCCCCAAACCGACAGCACCATCAGTATTGACGGAGAAGATCTGAAGAAAGTGACGGACTTTAAGTACCTGGGCTCCACCATCAGCTCAGATGGTAGCATCACGACTGATGTGAGGTCACGAGTCAATGCGGCGTGGATGAAATGGAGGCAAGTCACCGGAGTCCTCTGTGATCGGAAAATGCCGGATAGGCTGAAGGGAAAAATATACAAGACCATCGTCCGACCGGTGGCACTCTATAGATCCGAGTGCTGGCCAGCCACAACTCTACACGAACAAGCTCTCCACACCATGGAGATGAGGATGCTCAGATGGAGCCTCGGGCTCACTCGATGGGATCGTGTCAGGAACGAAGACGTTCGGAAGCGACTTGGTGTGGCCCCCATTGCGGACAAAATGCTTGAGGCAAGGCTTCGGTGGTACGGCCATGTGATGCGAAGTGAAGAGTCATCAGTGGCCAAGACTGCCATGCGTATTGAGCCAGAGGGCCGCCGTCCACGCGAACGTCCGAAGAAGCGATGGATCGACCGAATAAAGGAAGACATGAAGACGGTCAACGCATCCCCTGAAGATGCCCTGGACCGAGCCAAATGGAGAAGACAATGCCGAAAAGCGGACCCTGCGCCACAGCGGGAACAACGCTAGGAAGAAGAAGAATTTTTTTTAATCAATACATGTTGAAAGCAATTCATACATTTTAAGTTCTCATCCTTGCATGAGAATATATAGAGCAGTTCATATTTTGACGGTATCATGTGGTAATGCTCCATCACATGTTTTAAATCTATTACACAGTGAATATTGAACTGAAGCTTGACTTAAATAAGTTTCATCGCAAATCAAATCGCAATATCCGTCAGAAAAATCGCAATGAGATATTTTCCCCAAATCGTTAAGACCTATTCGGTACACCCTGTGTGTTGGACGTGTTTAGTGATGCGTATGCACGCTTGTGTAATGCGAGCGTAAATGGGGTTGTTGCTGGGCTCGGGTCCAATCACGCGGCCCGGGGTATTGGGGGGCGGAGCCTGGTCTGCGGGGCGTGTGGGAGGGGCCACCGTTCACCTCGGCTCCAATGGGAGGCGAGGTGAATGGGGGCGGAGCCAGCGGGGTAGTATGGGAAGGCCGGATCTGACGATCCAGAAGGGGAGGAGTCAGGGTCACGTGGGGGGAATGTATATAAGTGGGAGTCCGGAAGAGATCGGGGCAGTCGGGGAAGTTAAGAGGCTGAGCCACGTTGGTTGGTGAGGAAAGATCCGCGCCATCGGCCATGTGGCCGAAGGACCTTAGCACGCCGTCGGCCAGCGGTGTGCGGAGTGCGGGAGTAGAGGAGCTAACGGAGGAGCATGCGTGGCACGCGAGAGAGCGTGCGTGGCACGTGAGAGGGAGTGTGCGCGGGGCGCGCGTGAGACGACACTGGTCCGAGAGGAGGCCAGTGGGGGGTGCGGAGAAGAACCTAAATAAAAGACAAACGGAGACCAGCATCGCCTGACGGAGTCTTTTATTACACTTGCATTCCCTTGTGAAATTAAGTTGACTTCTCTTTTCAACTTAAAACTTTCGTGACTGCAGAAATTCATACTCTTGGTTCTTTCGGTAAAGTAACGTAAAAATTATTTTATAAAAATAATAAGATCAAATAAAAATAATTAAAGTAAATAAAAAAGATAGTAAATTGAAAATAATAAAAGCAAAAAAACCCATGACGTTTCGATCGCAACACAAGCGATCTTCATCAGGCGGAGAGAAAAGTGGTTGTTGTGGTTGTAGTTGTTGTTGTGGATGTTGTTGTGGTTGCTGTTGTGATTCTTACTCTTTGCTTCTTTCGGTAAAGTCACGTAGATATAAAATATAAAGTACATTTTATACCTACGTGACTTTACCGAAAGAACTGAATAGTATGGATCCCTGCAGTCACGAAAACTTCAAATCTAGGTTGTGATTCTTGTTGTAATCACACTGAGCGGAACATCACGGTGACAGGAGTGTATAAAGGCGTGTTGTGCGTTTAACTCTCCAACACACAACAACAGAACAACCGGGTTAGCGCTTTATCTTCTTGGTTCTTTCGTTAAAGTCACGTTGAAGGGAAATGATGAAATAAAAATAAAACGTAATAAAATACAATTCTCACGACGTTTCGGCCACAACTTAAGCAGCCGTCCTCAGGTGAAGAACAGGTCTGTCGGAAATACAGCGTCTGAATTAGCGCTGTACTAGTCAACCACATCGGCACGTGTTGCGTGACGTGGGCACAAACCTCCCCTTTACTGATTGGCTGTGTCAGGTGGCGGTGGTGGTGGAGAGTTTAACAACACACACTGAGTTACACACGTAGCCTCAGTGGCGCCTTACCCCTGGTACAATTAAAAACAAAAATAGTTAGTGAAGTGAAGAGTTCGTTAATATGACAAGATGTAAAAATAAAAACGGACTGTGATTGATTCGAGATGAAACACAATTGATGAATGTTTCAACGCTTGAACTTGCACTCTTTAACGAAAAGAGAAGTTCATATTCTTGGTTCTTTCGGTAAAGTCACGTAAATAGAAAACAAAACATTTGAAATAAAAATAAAATAATTGGATCAAATACAAATATTAAAGTAAAAAAAATATGATAAATTGATGATAAAAGCAAAAAAAAAAACACGACGTTTCGCAACACAAGCCGTCTTCATCAACCACACCAACAACAACCACAACAACCAAAACAGCCACAACAACAACAGCAACAACAACAATCAGCAGATTCATCAGGCGGCGAGTTGCGAAAATTTGTTCGCGAAAGCCATTAAGCGGCGGTGATGGCAGCCTGTGCCAGACTAGGTGCACTTTGAGGCTATCACGTGAAGTGTCGATGGCTCGCTGACTGGAGGTCTCGGGTTAGACCCAGCAGGTGCCGTGGGTTGACTGCTGTGCCAGGCTAGGAGCAGGGGGAGGTCACTGGACAGACCCTGCAGGTGCCATAGGTTGACTTCTGTGCCAAGCCAGGTGAAGGGGGAGGTCAGGGGTCAGACCCTGCAGGTGCCATGGGTTGACCGACTGAGATGACTGTGCAGATGCACCACCTGTGCCCCCAAACTGCGCAAACTCGCTGCATTTTATCCACCCGATGCTCCGCTCGCCGTTGTGAGCATCGCTCCACCTGCCCTCCCTTGTTGTTGGATGGGCGACTGCCTCCAGCTGCCAAAGTAGGAGCGTCCTTCACGAGCCTCGTACACAAACCTTGCACACACCGCGTACAAAGACACAAATCCCCCGTTTAGCCTGAACAGATTGTTGAGGCAAGCGCCATTAGCGAGTAGCAGCGCCTACGAAGGCCGGCAAGGAAACACGAGGCTGTGGGTGGCCAGCCCCACGCCCGGCCACCTTTGTTTCCCCAGTGGCGATGTTTACTACACACCACCACTGCACCAGGAACCCATTTGAGGACGAGTCGATCTCATGGGAGGAGGCCCCAGGGTACCGCTTCAGATGATCGCCACCTGCAGTGTTGGCGGCCGGGAGCGGGAATCAAACTCGGGTGGCCCGGATCGTAGTGCAGCAGCGTGATGATGATGGTGGTGATCGTCTGCCGTGATGATGAACATCTGCCGTGATGATGATGGTGATCGTCTGCCGTGATGATGATGATGGTGGTGATCATCTGCGTGATGATGAACGTCTGCCGTGATGATGATGATGATCGTCTGCCGTGATGATGGTGATCGTCTGCCGTGATGATGATAATGATTATCATCTGCCTTGATGATGATGATCGTCTGCCGTGATGATGATGTTGATGATCGTCTCACGTGATGATCATGATGATCGGTGTTGTTCTTGTGTCTTGTGTCTGTGGATATACAGGGCACAGCCTCAATTGCTACTCGTGCAGCACGAGCACCAACAATACGGCGTGCGACGCGGGCGGCCTCACCACGTGTCCCCTCGCATCGCTGGACACCTGCGCGACAATTCTATTCTACCAGGGCTCCAGTAAGCGCGTTGCTTATTCTCGCAAAGCGCGGGTTGGGGGTGGACCCCTTGCGTCCAGAAATGACTCCCAGGCCCATGATGCACTCACAAGACGAGCGTCCGATCTCACTGTGCTTTGAGTCTATAAAGTCTCTGTGTGGCCAGTCTATGGGTCTCTGTGTGGTGATGAGTCTATGGTATCTCTGTGCTTTGAGTCTATGGAGTCTGTGTGTGGCGGGTCTCTGTGTGTGATGAGTCTATGGGGTCTCTGTGTGGTTATGAGTCTATGAGGTCTCTCTGCGTTGAGTCTATGGAGTATCTGTGTAGTGAGGCTGCGGATCTCTGTATAGTGAGTCAATGCATCTCTCTGTGTAAAGAGGCTATGGGTCTCTGTGCGGCGATGATTCTATGGGTCTCTGTGTATTGATTATATGGATGGGTCTCTGTGTGGTGAGCCTATGGGTCACTGTGTGGTGAGTCTTTGTGTCTCTGTGTGTGATGCTTCTGTGGGTCTATGTGTGTGTGATGATTCTAGGGTTCTCTGTGTGTGATGAGACTATGGGCCTCAGTGTGTCATGAGTCTCTGGGTTCTCTGGGTGGTGAGTCTATGGGTCTCTGTGTGTGATGAGTTTATAGGGTCTCTGTGTCTTATGAGTCCATAGGTTTATTTACGTGATGAGTTCATGGGTTTCTGCATCCCCATCGGAGGCTCTTCCCCAATGTTTAGTTTTTTCTCTGGGGTCATCCAGTTTTTCCCCCTTCACATTTTTGAATTAACGTCACGGTGTTCCGAGAATTCGGCTGCTGCTATACATTTTCATGCCAAGATAATGATGATGACATCAGCCACCATTTGTAGTTGCGGCTTTTTGGCTTGCTGTCGAACAAAGGTGGCCACTGCATCATCACATGGCGCTTTCGGATGCGCTACTTCTGCGACCATCTGGAACGCTCTTCCTTACAATATTAGGAAGCCACTGAGAGCTATGCACTTTTAAATCATCACCTCGATTGACACTCATTTCTTAAAACTGCTTTTTGTGTTTTAGTTTGTTTTCCTTCCCCGCGCACTTGCAGTTAGTATGGTGGGCTATGTATGGTGCGAAAGAAGTTCAACATACACGCATACGAATATAGAGTCCTACAAACAACCATAACAGACCTATAGACACCTATAGATTAGCACGGTTGGCTACGTACGGCACGAAAGAAGTTCAACACACACGTACAAGTCACTTCTGAAAAAGGGCTACATGGAAGCTCAACGGGTCATACACCTGGTAAAATAACAATTAAAATACATTTTCACTTGTTTTTAATGATATGTGTTTTTCTTACAATGAGACCCGCATGCTTTCCCTTCTGCCCAGCCTACGTCCTCCTCAAGAGTTGCCTCCCCAAGGTCTATTGCGACGCCATCAAATTACTCGATAACGACTACAACGGAGCTACGCTGAGAACCATGTGCTGCCAGAGCGACGGCTGCAACGGCAACGCCGCCCCTCGCCCGGTGGGCGCAGCTCACGTGACCCTGGCGCTGCTGGGCGTGGCCATCAGCGTCGTGGTCAGCAGGGCTCTGGTGTAGGTCGTGACGTCACAGCCGCACCCCCCCCATCCCCACGTGCCTGGGTTCGGTCCAATCACTTGTCTACTTCCATTCGGTTGTCTCACGACGCTTCCACCAGTGGAGCTGTGCAACGTTTAAATCGTCTAGATTGTTGCGTTATGCTGCTAAAGAAGTTCAAAGTACAAATACATGGAAACAAGTAGACTCATCAAACCGGGACTCAAAGACTCATTACACAGAGACCCAGAGACTCATCATACAGTTACCCAAGTGGGGAATGATATACCATCACTTATATAAAGCTAGACAGTGGATCCTGTATGGCAGAAGAGAATGGGAAGGTCTTTAACCTGGACTGGGAACGGGTCATGTAGGGTGTTCAGAGCATGTGCGGATGATTGGGGGGTGAAAGAAAGTCCTATACTCAAGGGTGGGGTGGTGGGTGGGGTAGCAGATTTGTGTGACCCTTACCAATGGCATGTGCAAGGTTCCGCTCGATTTACCGAATGGGATGCGCTTCTCGAACATCTAAAAAAAATAACCCGTAAAAACAAAGTTTTTCACTATAAATCCTTTATATGTAAGATCACCTCTTGACATGCCCCGTATATTCCCGAGGGCACTAGCGTTGACCCGTTTTACCACTTTCAAGAACCTGGCGGCTTCAATTTAACTGCTCTATAAATAGTCTCCACTGTACTGCGTGGGGGCAGGGATTTCATGCCATGTGGTTAGTCAACATTTGCGTCATCATGAAACGGGCGGCGAGAGTCTTCTCGTCCTCTGACTTGAGATGGCTGCCACCTATGGGTCAGATGATTGTCTGCCACCACAATGAGTCTGTGTGCAAAATGTCAGCTCGATTGGATCACGGGAAGTGGGTTAAAAAACGACCTAAAGATTTGCACGGTCGTAAGCAAGCAAGCAAGCACGCAAGCACGCAAGCAAGCAAGCAAGTGAACTTAATATAAAGGATTTAAAAACAGACTCACGCGCATAAAACTAAATTTGTAATTCGCAATGGCTTTACCCATTTGGTTTAATACTAAAACTTGTGGGAATTGTATCGGACAGTCATTCCAACTCGGGAAAAAAAAATTGCAATACATCTTTGCCACTTTTTAGGATGCAAAAAAAGTGTAATAACATTATTTAAAAAAAACCTGAATATTACAACAATTTAATAATAACAATACATTTGAAAGAACTATTAATAAAACAAATTGCTGCATGTTGGAATGACCGGAGATGGTGAGAGCTACCCCAGGTCAGTAGTGGGGCCTTACACCTGGTTAAAATATTAAATGAATGGTTTCATTTTACTCGAAAAACAAAACAGCGTCTGTCATTTCTAAATCGCGTTCACGCGAAACTTCGTAAATCGAAACGTTCGTGAATCGAGGGATATCGCCTGTACCTGAGTACAATGCTTCTACCTCTCGTTCTATTATCTCTTACTCAACACACAATTGTCAAACAAAATGCATGCGGTTTGTTGCTTGGAAGATGGGCGACTTTTAATGGTTTTTACTTTTTGAAATTAAATTAATCTTGCTCGAGTTGGTAACTTTGTGTGTTATTTCACAGTGATGTGTGACGAAAGTTCGCCAATGACGCCCTTTTCAACCACTGGTGGAAATCAGTCAGAATCAGATTATTTATTTAGCTTGGAGGAGAAGATTTGATGAGCATTAAATGTATTTTTCACAGACGTCCAGTCGGGGCATGGGGGTCAGATCCTTACAACAACAACAAACACAACACACACACGATATGAGTGCAAAGTATAGGAAAGGTAAACAAATCACTTACAAAAATACGAATACAACTACTGAGTCGAATGGTCGGGCGAAGAGGCGCTACGATCGCTGCCATCCGTTCTGGATGATGATGTGCTCGACTCTTACACGTCCCTTCTTGCATGCAGCAAGACCACGCTACAGGCAGCCTACGAGGCTTTGAGGGAAATCTACTCACCTGCCGGGGCGCCTTCAGACGGTTTCAGGCCCGCCAGTGGGGGGCTAGAGAGTTATACTCTAGCCTACAGGGGTGGACTGCTGGTGTTGGCAAGCTTCCCTCGCCAAACCGACGAGGCACTCAAGAACCTCATGGTCGAGCACCGCTTGCTGCGCCAGCGTTGTAATGCCGGTGGTGACGCCGGACGAGTATATCTCACTGTCCGCCGCCCCGGATCCTATCGGCCCATGAACAGGTCATGGGTTGAACGCGACCAGTGGGCCAGGTGGCGGGTACTGTGGGAGGGAGCAGTCGGTACATTACCGTGGCGCTACCAGGGCCAGCGACACAAACCGCCAGGCCTGAACCGCCGCCCGCGTGCTGTTTACACGGCAGCTCAGGACGGAAGTCCAGCAGCTGAGCCGGAGCCATTGTGATGCCGCCGCTGTGAAGCCGCTCGGCGGGCGCCCCATCTACGACCTCGCCACCACCAAGCGACGGGACCGACCCCACTTCCCCCTCCCCGCCCCCCACATAAACACACCCTCACACATTTCCCCCCCCCATAGAGCTTCGAGGGGAGGTCACCTGGCCAACAGGTTTTGACCCGGAAGCCCTCATAGGGATGATCTTCACGATTTCCTGCGGCCAGGGAATTGGGCGACCTCCTCCGATGATAATTCGCACCACGGCGCTGTGATCTGGTTTGAGATTGCATGGTCACGGCGGGGGCTGTCCAGCCACCATGGTTGAAACGCACCCCCCCCACACACGGATCGGCAAGGCAGGCAGGGGGGGCCGCAGTCACGAACGAGGGGAGAAGCCAGGGTGGGTGGCTGATTGGCATAGCGGGTGTGCTCGGGGACCACCGCCGAGCAGCAGCCCGCGGCGAGCCCTTTGTTACGGAAACCGCGGCTGATTAGCATAGCAAAGGCGCACGTGGACCGGTGCCGCAGCCAGCGGGGGCCCATTGTTCGGGAAACCGGGAGTGTGGCTGAACAGGTACGTCGACCTGATTGGTCGAGAAGGCCCTCGGGTCGGCTTTCTTTGATGAAGGTTAACCATAAAAGGGGGGCGCAGAAAGGTAGAGGGGTCTCTTGCTCCAAAAGTCAGCACTCGTGACGGTCTCCGGTTCGGCCACTCGAACGTCCGTGTGACACGTCGAAGTGAGCAGCGAGGATGAGACCCCCGGAGCGCCGTACTCATCTAACTGTGAGTAAGAGGAAAGAGAGTATTGAGATTTAGTCTAAAAACCAAAGCGGCTTAGATCGTATCAAACTAGATAAATCGAGTACAGACCATCGGGAAATAGTGTAAGCCTGCCTCGCTGATTCCTGCTGACTCAACAGTGGCTCACAGTGGGCCGGTAATAAATAGTTAATAACTAGCCACAGTTTCCTGTGGATTCTACGAGTGTGTTGAAAGCGCGTGGTGCTGTGTGTGCGCACTCGTAACGTGGGTGGTCGGTGTTTTCGCGGGTGTGCGCTCCGTTCTGTCGCCGTGGAGACTCGTGCTGCGTGAGGGCTCACACCCACCGTAAACATCTGTTCCACGGCCCCGTTAAACGAGTGTTATCACCCGCTCACGGCGGCTGCGCATGTGCGAGCAAAGCTACTGCCCTCTGACCTCCGACCCCCAGCTGTCATGCCATTTCTAGAGCGTGCACGGAGTTGAGTAGTAGCGTGCGGGTAGTTATTAGCAATGTTTGAGGGAAGGCGCGCGGAGGGTGTTTGAATGAACAAGATGACCAGGGGGCCAGCCGAGAGTTATGTCTCACAGAGAGGAATCGGGGGACAGTAGCCCCCACACCATCGCTGCAGGTGGCATCGCGCCCGGGGGTGGCGCCGGGGCCAAGTAGTGGCGTCAGAGCAGTAGGTGGCATTGGGGGCCTGTGTTGACTTTGCCACGGGAGGTGAAGCCACTGTTTATCGGTGACGCCGGTGGGTTGCCAGGGCCAATGGCCGTGGGGCGGCGGTAGCACACGCGCTCGTTGGCACGCCGCAGAGCCTTCGCAATGTGGCGGAGCCAGACGTGGACCGAAAAGGCAGTTGGGGCGGGTGGGGTGGGTGGGGCCACCCCTTACCCCGCACCACATGGGGGGTGTTGGATATATGACCCTTTTTCCAAAATACATATTAAGAATAATTTGGCCAATCAACCGCGGTGTAGCACGAGACAAACAAAAATTGTAACATCCACTCTCACCACAGCTGCCTTTTACACTCGAGGCCAGAGAGCAGGAAGGGAGCCATACATGGGTAACACGTAAAAAAAACACCACGAGGGAAGGTGAGAGCCATCTAAAGCGAACCTTCCTTTGTTGGCGAGGAAGCCCATTATCACCCCCAATAAAGTGAAACAACACACGGACCCCGGACGAGGAACGCCGAAACAATCCGGTTTTTTTGGTTAATAATTTTTTTTTCATGTTCCTTCTAACAGCGATAAAAGTTCAAAACGGGCGACAAAGATTAAGCGAACATTACACTGGTCAACACACTTTTTCTGGCGTAAGGTATTCCGACGGTTTTAAGGTAATTTTGGGGTGCTGATTCCAAATCTGGCATCAGTTTGTGTCCATCACATCAGGTTTTTGAGATATCAAATATTGCATTTTCAAAAAAAACTGCAGAAGAAAAATATTAAATAAATGTGGATATCTACATAAAATTCTATTATAAATACACCATCCTAAAAATACAGCACCATATTTTAACACTAAAGCAGTCACTGACTCGCAACAACTTGCAATCATAAGTGACAGAGTTAATTTCGGGTAAAATCAATGAAAATGGGGTATGCCGATAGCATAAAAATGAGATGTGATAGAGCAAATCTGAGATCAGATTTGGAATCAGCACCCTGAAATTAGTCTAAAACAGCTGCAAAAGTCCAGGCCAGAAAAACATGTTTTTTTTATTTTGACCAGTGTTATCGATTCTCACATTCACTCCAATTAAAAACCAGGCTACACTCTACATCAGTGGATCATTACTCCTCATTTATTAAATCAATACGAATGTTAGTTTTACCTTTAATAATTTTCTAAACGACCTGACCAAAGCATCAAAGAAGAAGTCTGGCATTCAGGGTTGTTCCTAAGCCAAAACGAATTCCCTAACCTCGGGATATCAGATAATAATAATAACTCGAGAACAAACAGCACAAACCCAGGATACAGGCAGTGGAATATACATGGACGATGTCAATGTTTTCATCGGGTCCTTCGCCGAATACATTGGCCGATTGCATCCGTTATTCCTGCGGTTCCGGAATGCAAACTTGAAGCTCAATCCATTGAAGTCTATGAGTCAATGAAGTCTCTATGTGATGAGTCTATGGAGCTCTACGTGGTGTGTCTATGGGTATCTGGTTGGTGAATCTATGGGTCTCTGCGTGATGAGTTTATGGGTCTCTGCGTGGTTTGTCTATGCGTATCTGTGTGGTTAGTATATGGGTTTCTGTGTGGTGAGTCTATGGGCAACATCATTCCCAGAGTCGAACCCCCGGGATCCCTCTCGGGACCGCGCTATACCTAATGAATAAAATGAACTAATAAAATGAACTTGAACTTATAACTGCTCTGGCGTGGCCGGGCTCCTGCCCTTGGCCACGCCCCCCTTCCCAAACCCTCGTGGGGACTCTGGGTCCCCGTCACGTGATCCTCTCACCCCCAACTGGGGGTCCACCTCCACCCTCTCGTCCGGTCATGTGCCCTCTCGGGTTCACCTCGGGGTAAACGTCCTCACGCGACCTCTCTCTCAATGACACCCGGGCTCCGTCCTTAGAGTACCACTCCTCACTCGGCACTGTCGCTACAGCATCGTGACACCCTCGAGGCCATTAAACGTATATACGTTGCCAAAATTCAACATACACACAAACCTATGAAAGCCATTCCGCAGACACGGTTTAATATTAGTTAACTTTTCTTCCCATCAGAGTTATGCCGCTCCCATCGATGCCACGCTAACTCACTTCTCGGAACAGTTCTTAAATATCAGTCAATGTCTGTGTGATGAGTTTATGAATTTGTGTGTGATGAGTCTACGGGTCTCTTGTGGCGAGTCTACGGGTCTCTGTGTAACGAACCAGGCGTCCCGAGTTGGATTCCCGCTCACGGCCAACACCAGTGGCAATGATCTAAACCGGTAATGGGCCTCCCCTTGGTCGACTCAGCCTCAAATGAGGACCAGTAGGGATGTGTAAACATCGCTACTGGGGAGACAAAGGCAGCCGGGCGAGGTGTTGGACAACCACCCCTTTGCGTGCCGTTCCGGCCTTCATAGGTGCTCGATAATATCACTTGCCACGAGAGTCTGCCAAAACTATCGGGGGATCTTTGTATTTGCCTTTATGTTTGTATATGTACGGGTGTGTGTGTATGTACAGGTGTGTGTATAGGTACAGGTATGTGTATTTACAAGTGTGAGTGTATATGCAAGTGTGTGTTCATGCAGGTGTCTATGTGTGTACATGCAGGTGTGAGTGTGTGCATATGCAGGTGTGAGTATATGTAGGTATGTGTTTGTACAGGTGTGTGTATGCACATGTGTGTTTGTGTGTATGTACAGGTGTGTGTGTGTACATTCAGGTGCGATTGTGTGTATATGCAGATGCGTTTGTTTCTTTGCAACCCACCCCTGTTAGCGTGCCAGCCACATTTGCTGATGTTGAGGAACGAGCTCCGACAAATATATTTGCACACCACTCGTAACTATTTTTATGGGATATGCAAATATGTTTGTAGGAGTGTCTTCCCCGATTCCATTGGTCTCTGGGGCTTATAAAGTCTCCCAGTTCACCACGCAGACACAGTCACTGCTCCAGGGATATCTCTCTCTTTCTCTCTCTGACTCTGTAACTCTGTCTCTCTCAACTCGCCGACTTTCCATCCCAAAGCGCCACAACGCCAGGCTCCACGACTCTAACCATGACTTGCTACCTGCCGGGTCTGCTCCTCGTGGCGTTGCTGTTCGTGAGCGGAGGTGAGACAACTTTTGCGTGGCCGATACTGCGATATATATAGATGTTAAGTACCTCGCCTGGTATACAGGAGGTCGTGGGTTCGATTCTGGACTCTGACGATGCCTGCTGTTGTATATTTGGATTCTGCATGTCTCTCTCCCTGTGGAGATGTTAACTGCGTCGCCTGGTATACAGGAGGAGCATGGCTTCGATCACGGACTCTGATAATGCCTCCTGCTGTATATTTTGAGTCTCTGTGTGTGTCTCTCTCCCCGTGGAGATTTAACTACCTTGACTTGTATACAGGAGCACGTGGGATCGATCCCGGACCCTGACGATGCCTGCTGCTGTACATGACTTATATCAGAAACAGAAAGTACCCAATAAATATCCACAACAAGTTACAACAACATAGTAAATATAACGCTTATAATTTACATCGATGTCACTGCAATATTTCCAGCATCAACAGCTATTTCACGTCTTAATGTTTTGGGGTGTTTAGTTTCGGTAATCCACGGGCTGAACGATTAATCGATTTCAAATCCAAATCGCAATTTGAAACAATACGATTAGCAAATCGCAAAGGCTGCTATTTTTTGCAATTTGACAAGTCCTATTACTTTCTTATTTTTCTTGTTTATTTATTATTATTGTAACTTAATTTATTGAACTTAACAATTGTTCTCTGTTTGATTTTTATATTTCAAAATTTTTAATGAATACATGTTGAAAGCAATTCATACATTTTAAGTTCTCATCCTTGCATGAGAATATATAGAGCAGTTCATATTTTGACGGTATCATCTGGTAATGCTCCATCACATGTTTTAAATCTATTACACAGTGAATATTGAACTGAAGCTTGACTTAATTAAGTTTAATCGCAAATCAAATCGCAATATCCGTCAGAAAAATCGCAATGAGATATTTTCCCCAAATCGTTAAGACCTATTCGGTACACCCTGTGTGTTGGACGTGTTTAGTGCTTCGTATGCACACTTGTGGAATGCGAGCGTAAATGGGGTTGTTGCTGGGCTCGGGTCCAATCACGCGGCCCGGGGTATTGGGGGGCGGAGCCTGGTCTGCGGGGCGTGTGGGAGGGGCCTCCGTTCACCTCGGCTCCAATGGGAGGCGAGGTGAATGGGGGCGGAGCCAGCGGGGTAGTATGGGAAGGCCGGATCTGACGATCCGGAAGGGGAGGAGTCAGGGTCACGTGGGGGGAATGTATATAAGTGGGAGTCCGGAAGAGATCGGGGCAGTCGGGGAAGTTAAGAGGCTGAGCCACGTTGGTTGGTGAGGAAAGATCCGCGCCATCGGCCATGTGGCCGAAGGACCTTAGCACGCCGTCGGCCAGCGGTGTACGGAGTGCGGGAATAGAGGAGCTAATGGAGGAGCGTGCGTGGCACGCGAGAGAGAGAGAGCGTGCGTGGCACGCGAGAGGAAATGTGCGCGGGGCGCGCGTGAGACGACACTGGTCCGAGAGGAGGCCAATGGGGGGTGCGGAGAAGAACCTAAATAAAAGACAAACGGAGACCAGCATCGCCTGACGGAGTCTTTTATTACACTTGCATTCCCTTGTGAAATTAAGTTGACTTCTCTTTTCAACTTAAAACTTTCGTGACTGCAGAAATTCATACTCTTGGTTCTTTCGGTAAAGTAACGTAAAAATTATTTTATAAAAATAATAAGATCAAATAAAAATAATTAAAGTAAATAAAAAAAATAGTAAATTGAAAATAATAAAAGCAAAAAAACCCATGACGTTTCGATCGCAACACAAGCGATCTTCATCAGGCGGAGAGAAAAGTGGTTGTTGTGGTTGTAGTTGTTGTTGTGGATGTTGTTGTGGTTGCTGTTGTGATTCTTACTCTTTGCTTCTTTCGGTAAAGTCACGTAGATATAAAATATAAAGTACATTTTATACCTACGTGACTTTACCGAAAGAACTGAAGAGTATGGATCCCTGCAGTCACGAAAACTTCAAATCTAGGTTGTGATTCTTGTTGTAATCACACCGAGCGGAACATCACGGTGACAGGAGTGTATAAAGGCGTGTTGTGCGTTTAACTCTCCAACACACAACAAGAGAACAACCGGGTTAGCGCTGTACGAGTCAACTACATCGGCACGTGTTGGGTGACGTGGCACAAACCTCCCCTTTACTGTTTGACTGTCAGGTGGCGGTGGTGGGGGAGAGTTTAACAACACACACTGAGTTACACACGTAGCCTCAGTGGGGCCTTACCTCTGGTACAATAAAAACAAAAATAGTGAAGTGAAGAGTTCGTTAATATGACAAAATGTAAAAATAAAAATGGACTGTGATTGATTCGAGACGAAACACAATTGATGAATGTTTCAACGCTTGAACTTGCACTCTTTAACGAAAAGAGAAGTTCATATTCTTGGTTCTTTCGGTAAAGTCACGTAAATAGAAAACAAAACATTTAAAATAAAAATAAAATAATAGGATCAAATACAAATGTTACAGTAAAAAAATATGATAAATTGATAATAATTAAAGCAAAAAACCCACGACGTTTCGCAACACAAGCCGTCTTCATCAACCACACCAACAACAACCAAAACAGCCACAACAACAACAGCAACAACCACAACAACAATCAGCAGCTTCATCAGGCGGCGAGTTGCGAAAATTTGTTCGCGAATGCCACTAAGCGGCGGTGATGGCTGCCTGTGCCAGACTAGGTGCACTTTGAGGCTATCACGTGAAGTGTCGAAGGCTTGCTGACTGGAGGTCTCGGGTCAAACCCAGCAGGTGCCGTGGGTTAACTTCTGTGCCAGGCTAGGTGCAGGGGGAGGTATCGGGTCACACCCAGCAGGTGCCATGGGTTGACTTCTGTGCAAGGATAGTTGCATGAGGAGGAGGTCACGGGGACAGACCCTGCAGGTGCCATACGTTGACTTCTGTGCCAAGCCAGGTAAAGAGGGAAGTCAGGGGTCAGACCCTGCAGGTGCCACGGGGGTGACTGCTTTGCCAGGCTAGGTGCAGGGGGAGGTCACGGACAGACCCTGGAGGTGCCATGGGTTGGCTGCTGTGCCAGGCTAGGTGCATGAGGAGGAGGTCACGGGACAGACCCTGCAGGTGCCGTGGGTTGACCGACTGAGATGACTGTGCAGATGCACCACCTGTGCCCCCCAACTGAGCAAACTCGCTGCGTTTACTCTACCCGACGCTCCGCTCGCCGTTGTGAGCATCGCTCCACCTGCCCTCCCTTGTTGTTGGATGGGGGACTGCCTCCAGCTGCCAAAGTAGGAGCGTCCTTCACGAGCCTCCTACACAAACCTTGCACACACCGCGTACAAAGACAAACATCCCCCGTTTAGCCTGAACAGATTGTTGAGGCAAGCGCCATTAGCGAGTAGCAGCGCCTACGAAGGCCGGCAAGGAAACACGAGGTGGTGGGTGGCCAGCACCACGCCCGGCCACCTTTGTCTCCCCAGTGGCGATGTTTCCTCCACACCACCACTGCACCAGGAACCCATTTGAGGACGAGTCGACCTCGTGGGAGGAGGCCCCAGGGTCCCGCTTCAGATAATCGCGACCTGCAGTGTTGGCGGCCGTGAGCGGGAATCAAACTTGGGTCGCCCGGTTCATAGTGCAGCAGCGTGATGACGATGGTGGTGATCGTCTGCCGTGATGATGATGATGATCGTCTGCCGTGATGATGATCGTCTGCCGTGATGATGATGATCGTCTGCCGTGATGATGATCGTCTGCCGTGATGATGATAATGATGATCGTCTGCCGTGATGATGATAATGATGATCGTCTGCCGTGATGATGATGATCGTCTGCCGTGATGATGATGTTGATGATCGTCTCCCGTGATGATCATGATCGGTGTTGTTCTTGTGTCTGTGGATATACAGGGCACAGCCTCAATTGCTACACGTGCAGCACGAACACCAACAACACGGTGTGCAACGCGGGCGGCCCCACCACGTGTCCCTTCACATCGCAGGACACCTGCGCGACAATTCTAATCAACCAGGGCTCCTGTAAGTGCGTTGTTTATTCGAGCAAAGCGCGGGTTGGGGGTGGACCCCTTGCGTCCAGAAGTGACTCCCAGTCCCATGATGCACTCACAAGACGAGCGTCCGATCTCACTGTGCTTTGAGTCTATAGAGTCTCTGTGTGGCCAGTCTATGGGTCTCTGTGTGGTGATGAGTCTATGGGATCTCTGTGCTTTGATTCTATGGAGTCTATGTGTGGCGGGTCTTTGTGTGTGATGAGTCTATGGGATCTCTGTGTGGTGATGAGTCTATGGGGTCTCTGTGCGTTGAGTCTATGGAGTCTCTGTGTGGTGAGGCTGTGGATCTCTGTATAGTGAGTCAATGCATCTCTCTGTGTAAAAAGTCTATGGGTCTCTGTGCGGCGATGATTCTATGGGTCTCTGTGTATTGATTATATGGATGGGTCTCTGTGTGCTGAGCCTATGGGTCACTGTGTAGTGAGTCTATGTGTCTCTGTGTGTGATGATTCTGTGGGTCTATGTGTGTGTGATAATTCTATGGTTCTCTGTGAGTGATGAGACTATGGGTCTCAGTATGTGATGAGTCTCTGGGGTCTCTGGGTGGTGAGTCTATGGGTCTCTGTGGGTGGTGAGTCTTTGGGTCTCTGTGTAATGCGTCTATGGGTCTCTGTATGATGAGTCTATAGGGTACATCTGTGTCTGATGAGTCTATGGGTTTATTTACGTGATGAGTTCATGGGTTTCTGCATCCCCATCGGAGGCTCTTCCCCAATGTTTAGTTTTTTCTCTGGGGTCATCCGGTTTTTCCCCCTTCACATTTTTGAATTAACGTCACGGTGTTCCGAGAATTCGGCTGCTGCTATACATTTTCATGCGATGATAATGATGATGATATCAGCCACCATTTGTAGTTGCGGCTTTTTGGCTTGCTGTCGGACAAAGGTGGCCACTGCATCATCACACGGCGCTTTCGGATGCGTTGCTTCTGCGGCCATCTGGAACGCTCTTCCTTCCGATATTAGGAAGCCACTGAGGGCTGTGCAATTTTAAATCATCGTCTAGATTGACACTCATTTCATAAAACTACTTTTTGTGTTTTAGTTTGTTTTCCTTCCTCGCGCACCTGCAGTTAGCACGGTGGGCTATGTATGGTGTGAAAGAAGTGCAACATACACACATATATACAGAGATCTAAACACACCTATAGAGACCTACAGAGATCCACAAATTAACACGGATGGCAACATACGGTGCAAAATAAGTTCAACAAACACACACATACATATACAGAATCCTAGAAACACCCATAACAGACTAATCGACACCCACAGATTAGCACGGTTGGCTACATACGGCACGAAATAAGTACATGTCACTTCTGAAAAAGGGCTACATGGCAGCTCTGCGGGACTTACTCCTGGTAAAATAACAATACAGTAAAAACTTTTTAAAGTGTGTTTAATTACATACTTTTTTACTTACAATGAGACCCGCGTGCTTTCTCTTCCACCCAGCCTACGTCATCACCAAGCAGTGCTTGACCAAGGCCGCATGCGACGCCGCCAAATTACTCGACGGCACCACCGCCGGAGTCACGCTGAGCACCACGTGCTGCCAGAGCGACGGCTGCAACGTCAACGCCGCCCCTCGCCCGGTGGGCGCAGCTCACGTGACCCTGGCGCTGCTGGGCGTGGCCATCAGCGTCGTGGTCAGCAGGGCTCTGGTGTAGGTCGTGACGTCACAGCCGCACCCCCCACCCCCACGTGCCTGGGTTCGGTCCAATCACTTTCCCCTTCCATTCGGTTATCTCACGACGCTTCCACCATTGGAGCTGGGCAACGTTTAAATCGTCTAGATTGTTGCGTTATGCTGCTAAAGTTCAACGTACATTTGTCCATACATAGAGACAAGTAGACTTGTCACGCAGATACCCATAGACTCACTACATAGAGACCCATAGACTCATCACACAGAGACCCATAGACTCAATACCAGTGGCGGCTCCTGCAAAATCTCTCAGGGGGGGTAAATGTCTGGATGATTGATAAGGATAAGGTCCACCCATGCAAAGGATAAATTAACAGCTTAAGCATGTAAAGGCAATTTCACTTCTTTAATATTAATGAAAAATAAAGTGACTCTTACAATACATCTTGTTTGTTTCTATACTCACTATTATTACAATCCACTCAGTTTCTTTTATTAAAGATTCCACTAGGTGGCGACAAATAATATTGTTGACTGAAACGTGCTTACGTATGATGACGTAGGCACGTTAGTGCGAGACCTCCCGGAAGCCGTAGAGAATGCATTGCAGCGCCCGCCGTTCGAAAAAAACATCTTTGAATGTAAGATTATGGGAACAATCTGGGCGATTCTCAGCCGGAGTGAAATCGCCCAAAAAGAGGCGGTACTCCACAGAACGTGAACTGACGCTGATTGGACTATATCCAGAGGCACAGTAACGGCTCGCATAACTCTGTGGTTGAATGAGATTGGTGGTGCGTCGCCCAATCGCCCTAATGAAGAAACCGCCCCTGCTCAATACACAGATACCCACGTGGAGAATGAAATACCATAATTTATCGAGAGCCAGACAGTTGATCCTGTATGGCAGAAGAGAATGGAAAGGTTATTAACCTGGACTGGTAACAGGTCACGTAGGGTGTTCAGAGATTGTGCGGATGATTGGGTGTTGAAAGGAAGTCCTAAAAAACAGACTCACGCGTGTAAAACATAATTTGTAATTAGCAACGGCTTTACCCGTTTGGTTTAATACTAAAACTTCGGGGGGGGGGGGGGTGACAGTCATTCCAAATCGAAAAAAAAATGCAATAAATCTTCGTAACTTTTGAGGATGCAAAAAATGTGTAATAAAATTATAAAAAACGTGCATATTACAACGATTAAATAAAAACAATATATTAAAAAAAACTATTAATAAAACAAATTGCTGCATGTTGGAATGACCGGAGAGAGTGTATGCTACACCAGTTCAGTAGTGGGGCCTTACACCTGGTTAAAATATTAAATAAATGGTTTAGTTTTACTCGAAAAACCAAAACAGCGTCTGTCATTTCTCAATCGCGTTCACGCGAAACTTCGTAAATCGAAACGTTCGTGAATCGAGGGAAATCACCTGTACCTAATTGCAATGCTTATACCTCTCGTTCAATGATGTCCCACTCAACACACAATTGTCAAACAAAATGCATGCAGTATGTTGCTTGGAAGATGGGCGACTTTTAATTGTTTTTACTGTTTTTCTGCTTGGTTCTTTCGGTAAAGTCACGTAGAATGGAAACAATAAAAATAATAAAATAAAACATAATAAAATAATTCTCACGACGTTTCGGCTACAACGCAAGCAGCCGTCTTCAGGTGAAGAATGCAGTCACGAAAGCTTTAAATCGAAATAGTTTTTATTTTTTAAAATTAAATTAATCTTGCTCAAGTTGGTAACTTTGTGTGTTATTTGACAGTGATGTGAAAAAAAAGAATAATCAAATTGAATAAATATTAAGATTTTTCCACTGACCTGTGTTATAAATGTCATTTCTGTACGATTCCCATCATTTTTATAGTCAAAATCGTCAAATTTGCGGAGCTCCGCTGCAAATACAGGAAGAGACGAGGGGTGAGGCAGCGACGAGCTCAGCCTCCCCTCTGATTGTGCAACCCCTCAGTAACTGGATGGAGCGCGGGCAATAAGCGCGTGCCTGTTACTATCTCAGTATGTCACCAATGTAATGTGTGTAGACCCCTTCATTTCATGTCCTCGCATTCCATACTCCAGGTAACTTTTTTCACGTATTTCTGTATAAAGATATTTAGGCTCGCTGGTCTCGTCATGAAACTGCAATGAAAAAGCACCAGGGGAGGCAGCTATCACATCTGACTCACTGAGGGGGGCGTGTTAGACACATCCCCCTCAATGAGGCCACTCCCCTTCAGTGTGTGAATCTGGCTCTGACACGAGCCAGTGCCTCCCCAGCCATTGACCTCACCGCTCGTCACTGATGTGATGAGTTTATTGGTCTCTGTGTGGTGTGTCTCTGTGTGATTATTCTATGGGTCTCTGCGTAATGAGACTACAGGTACTTGCGTGATGAGACGACGGGTCTCTGCATGATGAGTCAATGCAGTCTTTGTGTGATGAGTCTATGGGGCTCTGTATCATGAGTCTATGTGCCTGTGTAGAGGCGGTAGTGTAGTGGTTAGAGCTACGCTGCACTACAAACCCGGCGACCCGAGTACGATTTGTGCTTACGGCCAATTTCAGCGACGATTATCTGAACCGGTCCTGAGCCTCCCCTATATCGACTCAGCCTCAAATGAGTACCTGGTGCGGTGTGTAAACATCGCCACTAGGGAAACAAAGGCGGCCAAGCGTGGTGTTGGCCAACCACCTCCTCATGTGCCATTCCGGCCTTCATAGGTGGTGCTACTCGCTAACAGCACTTGCCCCAATAGTCTGTTAAAGATACACGGGGGATCTTTGTCTTTGGTCAGTTTATCGGTCTCTAAGTGTGTGTGTATGTCGAGCTTCTTACGCACCACCATACGTAGCCAACCGTTGCCAAACCGTTGTTTTGAAGAACAGGTTCAGAGAGAATGTTAACATTCGACACCGATAGGACACCCGAGTTTGGAATCGAACCCCGAATCACACACCCCGTTGTGACGTCACACCCACCTTCACTTCCCAGCAGATAATTCCTGCCTCCCATTCTACGTCACGGCCACCCACGTCGCTTTCTCAACAACAACTAAAAGCTTTGAGATTATGAGCACGATAAGTCCACGCCTCGTATGTACGCGTGTGCGAGTGTGTCTCTGTGTGTGTCCGTGTGTATGGGGAACAGTGGAGCAGCTATTATCATGCTGCGCTACGAAGCAGGCAAGCCCGCGTGAGATTCCCGCCAGTGACGATTGTATGAACCGGTCCTGGGCCTCCCCGAGGTCGACTCAGCTTCAAATGAGGACGTGGAGTGAGTTGTGAGTTTTGGTGGTAAGTGGGTGAGTGGTGATTGGGGGTGAGCGGTGAGTGTGTAGGTGAGTGTGGGTTGTAAGTGGTAAGGGTGAGTTATCTGCGTGGTGAAGTGTGAGTGGGGGAGTGGGTGGGTGGTGTGAGTGGTGAGTAGGTGAGTAGTTAGTACGTGGTGTGTGAGTTGTGTGTGAGCGGGTGAGTAGTGAGAGAATGGTCAGTCGGTGAGTCGGTGAGTGGTGTGAGTTGGCAAGTGGTGATTGTGAATGGTGAGTTGGTAAGGTGTGAATGTGGTTGAGATGTAAGTGTGGATGAGTGGTGAAGGTGAGTGGGTGAGTGAGCTTGTGAGTGGATGAGTGGGTAGGTGAGTTTGAGTTGTGAGTGGGTAAGTAGGTGAGCGTGAGTGGTGAGTGGGTAAGTGAGTGGGCGAATGAGTTGGTGGGTGAGAGAGTCGGTGAGCGCTGAGTGAGTGAGTGTGCGATTGGGTGGTTACCGAGTGGGTGGTGACTGAGTGGGTGTGGGTGGTGGATCTTTGTCTTTCCAGTCAGCCCGGACATTTGTATTTGCACAATCTCTGCCGAGCACACGGTAAGCTCTTGGTATTCAATACAAAATAGCGTTAACTATGTTGCAAAACCGGCTCTCGACCCAGGAGACGGATATGCAGTAGTGCGGATTATACCTCGCAATTGTGGTTGCTTCGAGGGAATGATCGTTTGAAATCAACGCAACCACCCAATTAAAATGAACCGCAAAATGGGCCCTGTTATTACCTGGGGTTGTGCATTCGCCTGTGGGTGTGTGGGGATGGGTCCGTGTGTGTCTGTGTGTGCGTGGTAAGGCCGTAATTATAATATATATTGGGGGACAAACATTCCCCCCAATATTCAAATATGCTAAAAATGTCCCCCCCCCAAATATATTTCGATAAAATAGTTTTCTGTTTATATTATTGTGGTTATGGTTGTACTTTATTAATCCCTAATCTCTGCGATTACATACAATGAAACAAGAAAAGATGAAAAAGAAAAAACTGAGCAATGTAATACAATACACTATTAGACATTATTGTACAAAATAAATAAAAAGTCCATTCTATATGTTAGTGAATGTTTAAATATTTTAGGCAGGAATTGCCAGGAAATTCGTTTTCAAAATGAGATTTTTTTCAGACCCCCTGGAAGATTTGGTCCCCCCCAATATTGACTCCATGGCATCGGCCTTTGTGTGTGGCAAGGGCGCCGCTGCTACTGGGCAGTTTGAGGCAATCGCCCCTCCAGCAGCAACAACGGAAGGGCAGATGAGCGACGCTCACAACAACGAGCGGAGATCTGGGTGAATAAATAAGTATAACCCGTAAAAACAAAGTTTTTCACTATAAATCCTTTATATGCGTGGCAGCTAGAGTCCTCTCGTCCTCTGGCTTGAGATGGCTGCCACCTATGGGTCAGATGATTGTCTGCCAGTATTAAGCAATTGGTAATTAAATATTTAATTTGTTTTCCCTAAACAGTGTAAAATTTTGGAACAAAAATTTTCACGAACATTAATTGTCTCGCACAACGAGTCTGTGTGCAAAATGTCAGCTCGATTGGATCACGGGAAGTGGGTTAAAAAACGACCGAAAGATTTGCACGGTCGTAAGCAAGCAAGCAAGCACGCAAGCACGCAAGCAAGCAAGCAAGCGAACTTAATATAAAGGATTTAAATACAGCAAGTTGGCACAGTGGGTTGGGGGGGTACAGCTGGTGGTGCATCTATCTCGCGGTCATCTCAGACAACCCACGGCACCTGCTGGGTCTGACCTGAGACGTCCAGTCAGCGAGCCTTGGACACTTCACGTGGCCTCATAGTGCACCTGGCCTGGCACAGTGGTGACGTCACCGACACTTAATTGTGAATGGCGGTTATTGTGTTTGGTTTGTGTGTGGGGAGTGGTAGTGTAGTGGTTAGCGCTATGCTGCGCTTACGAACCTGGCGACCCGGGTTCGATTCCCCCTCACGGACAACACCCAGTGACGATTATCTGAACCGGTGCCGGGCCTCCCCTAGGTGGACTCAGTCTCAAATGAATACCCGGTGCAGTGTGAAAACATCGCCACTGGGGAGACAAAGGCCGTCGGGTGCGGTGTTGGCGACCCATCCCATCGTGTGCTGTTCGGGCCTTCATCGGAGGTGCTACTCGCTAACAGCAATTTCATCGACAGCCTGTTAGAGGCTACACGGGGGATCTTTGTGTGTAGGTGCTGCTACTTGCTACTAACAGCACTTTCCCCTGAAGCCTGTTATAGTCTACACGGGGGATCTTTGTGTGTAGGCGCTGCTACTCGCTACGAACAGCACTTGCCCCTACAGCCTGCTAGAGGCTACACGGGGGATCTTTGTCTGTGTGTAGGTGCTGCTACTTGCTACGAACAGCACTTGCCCCTACAGCCTGCTAGCTGCTACACGGGGGATCTTTGTGTATAGGTGCTGCTACTTTCCGTTCCAGCCTGCTAGATTCCACACGTGGGATCTTCGTCTGTGTGTAGGTGCTGCTGCTTGCCCCTACAGCCTGCTAGATGCTACACGGGGGATCTTTGTCTGTGTAGTGTGGTCCTACTTGCCCCTACAGCCTGCTAGATGCTACACGGGGGATCTTTGTCTGTGTAGTGTGGTCCTACTTGCCCCTACAGCCTGCTAGCTGCTACACGGGGGATCTTTGTGTATAGGTGCTGCTACTTTCCGTTCCAGCCTGCTAGATTCCACACGTGGGATCTTCGTCTGTGTGTAGGTGCTGCTGCTTGCCCCTACAGCCTGCTAGATGCTACACGGGGGATCTTTGTCTGTGTAGTGTGGTCCTACTTGCCCCTACAGCCTGCTAGAGGCTACACGGGGGATCTTTGTCTGTGTGTAGGTGCTGCTACTTGCTACGAACAGCACTTGCCCCTACAGCCTGCTAGCTGCTACACGGGGGATCTTTGTGTATAGGTGCTGCTACTTTCCGTTCCAGCCTGCTAGATTCCACACGTGGGATCTTCGTCTGTGTGTAGGTGCTGCTGCTTGCCCCTACAGCCTGCTAGATGCTACACGGGGGATCTTTGTCTGTGTAGTGTGGTCCTACTTGCCCCTACAGCCTGCTAGATGCTACACGGGGGATCTTTGTCTGTGTAGTGTGGTCCTACTTGCCCCTACAGCCTGCTAGCTGCTACACGGGGGATCTTTGTGTATAGGTGCTGCTACTTTCCGTTCCAGCCTGCTAGATTCCACACGTGGGATCTGTGTCTGTGTGTAAGTGCTGCTACTTGCCCCTATAGCCTGCTAGATGCTACACGGGGGATCTTTGTCTGTGTAGTGTGGTCCTACTTGCCCCTACAGCCTGCTAGATGCTACACGGGGGATCTTTGTCTGTGTAGTGCAGTGCAACCACACGAAGACGAGGAATGCTACTCGGGCTGCTTGTCGTTTATTTACACACACCGCATCCTTCACTCACACCAGTTGCAGGTGCACGCTACCCTCGGTCCTTCACACGGACACCCCGCGAACAATACAACGCCCTAGAGGTGGGGGGGGGGTCAGACATTTGTGACGATGTGTGACGAGGGGGGGGGAGGTGATAAATGTGACTTAACGTAAAAATGCACAACTTTAGATTAATATAGACAACACCTTCTACTTAATGAAATAGACTTTTTGATAATTGTTTTCTCCGACAACATCAGAGTGCAGTGGCACATTAAATACGCACTACATTGACAATAGTTTAAAGCGATTTGAAGCATGTTTTATTTTTTTGAGGGGGGCAGGGGCAGAGCTTTGTGACGTCATACTTGAGGGGGGGGGGGTCTGACTTTTTGTGACGCCGTGTAACGAGGGGGGGGGGGGGGTCAAAAATCGTCCAAAATCGCGTGACGTCATTTATGAACGGCCCCATTGCCCTAACGACGACCCCGAGCGCAGGCAACGTTGTCCCTTTAAACCTTCTGCGTTGGCTCCTCCCTCCGGCTAGGCTCCACCCACATTGAAAAAGTGCTTTCCTGAAAGTCACTTACGTCACCTCTCAAAGTTACATCATCCACACCCTTACGTAACCTCTCAACCAACCCGTACTTAAATTTAGATGTAAAGCTTTCGTGACTGCAGGGATTTATATTCTTGGTTCTTTCGGTAAAGTCACGTAGAAGGGGGATAATAAAATAAAAAAATATATTAAACAATAACAAGTATTTATTTTTTTCCCTTCTACTTGACTTTACCGAAATAACCAAGAATATCAACCCGTATTCTTGGGTTTTTTCGGTAAAGTCACGTAGGTGACTCCCTAGTTGATACAGCAATCGTGCTGTGACGGTTCCACCTGAAGACGGAAGCTTGTGTTGCCTCCGAAACGTCGTGATTTTTATTTTATTTTTTATTTTACTTTTATTAATTTACCTACGTGACTTTACCGAAAAAACCCAAGAATATGAATCCTTGCTGTCACGAAAGCTTCACATCTATAATATCAACCCTCACTTCCCTACACTCGCCCCTCATTGGCTACTTGTGGTGCTCCTCTACATGTGTGTAGGTGCTGCTGCTCACTCCTAACAGCACTTGCCCCTACAGCCTGCTAGAGGTTACACGGGGGATCTTTGTCTGTGTATAAGTGCTGCTACTAGTTACTAACAACACTTGCCCTACAGCCTGCTAGAGGCTACACGGGGGATCTTTGTCTGTGTATAGGTGCTACTCGCTACTAACAGCACTTGCCCCTACAGCCTGTTAGAGTCTACACGGGGGATATTTGTCTTTGTACGATTGCAGTGAGGAGAGACAAAGGCAGCCGAGGATGGGTGGGCGCTGGCTACCCACCCCCGCGACCCACCCCATCCACCCTACCCCACTTCGTGTCCCAGCCACAGTTGCGTATACGGCTCAACGAGCTCCGATAAATACGTAATAAGAGAGCGCCATCTCCTGTATTATTGTGGGGGTTACATTACCTATCATACCGTCCACTGATTCTTCCGCCGTTGCCGATCATTGCGACAACGCTGTGGGCTCTCATGAAATTGTCTTTTCCGAGACCAAGGTGCTCTGCAAACCTCCTGGCTACCATCAAAGGTTTGTACACGAAACCATCCAAATATACAAACACAGACATAATTTCAACCGTGATGATGGGTACAAACTTAGTAATCATTGGAAAGATATTATTAACCATGCAAAAAAGATTTAACTACACATATTTGGACCATCTTTTTTCACACACTGGTTTTCCTACTTTAAGTTTTACCACACATATTTGGCAAATCTAGAATTAATCCCAGAAACGTAGCAAAGTGCTGTTTCGACTACATAACAAAGGCTCAGTCCCATTCACAGCAGCCGCACCTTTACATCAGTCGCACCTTAACAACTCTTAGAACCTCCCAGTTCAACCAGTCTACACAACAAAGACTCATTCCTGGCAGCGGTTTCAGCCGCACCACCTCTACATAACAAAAGGCTCAATCCCATTTACACGCACCTTTACATCAGCCGCACCTTAACAACTCTTGGAACCTCCGAGTTCAACTAGTCTACACAACAAAGGCTCATTCCTAACAGCGTGCTTCAGCCGCACCGAACCTCACAATAATAATATCCAGGGCCTACCTTGGCTCCTCCCACCCTCTATATATACAAGGACTGTTTTCTTGGAATTTCTCTTACTTGATACAGCTATCGTGCTGTGACGGTTCCACCTGAAGACGGAAGCTTGTGTTGTCGTGATTTTTATTTTATTTTACTTTTATTAATTTAATTTTTTTTTAAATACCTACGTGACTTTACCGAACAAATCTAAGAATATGAATCCTTGCAGTCACGAAAGCTTCAAATCTAGAACAAGAGTAAAGTTGAATTTGCAAACAAATAGACTTACGAACTGACCTCTGGAAACTACCTCGCCAGGAGATGTTAACTACCTCGCCTGGTATACAGCAGGTCGTGGATACGATACTAACCCTGATCAATGTTGTATATTTGTAGTTTCCATGTTTTCTCTCCCCGTGGCCGCCTGGACTAAGAGTCCTCCGTTTTTCTCTCCACATTTATAATAAAAAAAACACACGTTTCAAAGTATTTGGCTGCTGCTAAAATGTCCACATCACGGCGATGGTGATATCAGCAACTTCGTTCAGCTGCTATCATTTGTGATGGCCAGATCCCTTCTGAAAAAGAGCCACATAGCTCAGTGGGACCTTACGCCAAGTAAAATAAAGTAAAAGGTTCAGTAAAATAATGTGTTAGGTACTCACATACGGGCCCTTATGCGTTTCCGTGTATGCATTCTCTGTGCGTGTGTGTACAATAACATTTGTAGGAGTGTCACCAACTTCCTTATTCATCCATCTCTAGGGTCATATAATATCCTGTCGATGCTCAGACTCAGTCAGTGGTCGAGGGATCTCTCTCAACTAGGCGAAAGTTGCTGACTTTCATTCTCATCATCGACTCAACTCAACTCTAATAACACTAGCCCGACCACGACTCGAACCATGACTGTCTACCTGCTGGGTATACTCCTCGTGGCATCGCTCATCGTGAATTCAGGTGTGAAAACAATGATCTGCTGTTGACTATACGTTTTTTCTACAACAAAGACTGACAATACAATTAAGTTGACTTGAGTTAATTCACTTGGCTCGTCAAAGTTAGTTTGGAAACTTCTGAATGGGTACCGAGTTGCGGGCTTTTTGAGCTCCGCGGAATTTCCGCGCCTCCTCCCATTGTACGTGTCGCTGAACTTTCTTTGGCATTTGACTCCGTCACGTAGCCAGCCGCTGCTTATCGGATGTGCGTGGGCGAAGGACAACTAAAGCACAAAAAGCAAATCTAAAGAAATTAGTTTTAAATGTAACAAATATGCTAGTCCATGTGTTTTCGTGTGGTGAGTCGATGGGGTCTCCTATGTTTGTACGTTGAACTTCTTTGACACCGTACATAGCCAACCGCTGCCAATCGGAGGTGCGCGGGAACGACAATAAACTACACACAACAACCAGCAGTTCTAAAGAAACGAGTTTGTCAATCTAGATTATTTAAAAGCACGTAGCTCCAGCGGCTTTCAAAATATCGGAAGAGCGTTCCAGACGGCCACAGAAGCGCATCTGAAAGCGCGAGATGCAGTGCTCGTCGTTGTTCATTGGTTAGCAAAAAGCCGCTTGCTGCTTGCGAGGATTAATGGAGTTGGCGTGGTTGCAAGACAGTGCATGCTATAGGTGGATTTATTGCATCGTACGATCGTGAGAGGTGGCAATGGCTTTAGCACGGTTGGCTACGTACGCTGCGAAAAAAGTTCAACAGACATGCGTCCATGGGGCATCACGGTGGGGTGATGTTGATTACCTCGCCTGGTATGCAGGAGATCGTGGGATCGATCCCGAACCTAACGATGCCTGCTGTCTATTTGGAGTCTGTGTTTCTCTCCTCGTAGAGATGTTAACTGCCTCGCCTGGCATACAGGAGGTCATGCGTTCGATCCCGACCCCTGACGCGATGCCTGCTGTATACTTGGAGTCTGTCTCTCTCCCCGTCGAGATGATAACTATCTCGCCTGGTATACAGAAGGTCGTGGGTTCGATCCCGAACCTGACGATGGCTGCTATACATTTTGAGTCTGTCTCTCTCCCCGTTGAGATGTTAACTACCTCGCCTGGTATACAGAAGGCCGTGGGTTCGATCCCGACCCTGGCGATGCCTGCTGATGTATATTTGGAGTCTGTGTTTCTCTCCTCGTAGATATGTTAACTGCCTCGCCTGGCGTACAGGAGGTCATGGGTTCGATCCCGACCCCTGACGCGATGCCTGCTGTATATTTGGAGTCTGTCTCTCTCCCCGTCGAGATGATAACTATCTCGCCTGGTATACAGAAGGTCGTGGGTTCGATCCCGAACCTGACGATGGCTGCTGTACATTTTGAGTCTGTCTCTCTCCCCGTTGAGATGTTAACTACCTCGCCTGGTATACAGAAGGTCGTGGGTTCGATCCCGACCCTGACGATGCCTGCTGCTGCTGTATATTTGGATTCTGCATCTCTCTCTCTTTCCCCGTGGCCGCATGCATTGGGGGAGGGGGGCTGGAGGGAGGGAGGAGAGGGGCTGGGGGGAGGGTGGGGGGAGGGTGGAGGCAGGCTGGGGGGAGGGTGGAGGGGGCTGGGGGGAGGGTGGAGAGGGGCTGGGAAGAGGAGTGCTGGGGGGAGGGTGGAGGGGGATGGGGGGGAGGGTGGAGGGGTCTGAGGGGAAGGAGGAGGGGGTCTGGAGGGAGGGAGGAGGGGGTCTGGGGGGAGGGTGTGGGGGGCTGGGGGGAGGGTGGAGGGGGGCTGAGGGGCAGGTGGCTGAGGGTTTTGGGGTGGCAGGGTGTTCACTATGTACATCAAGCCCTTGCCCCAATACGGCTGGGGTTACGTTGAACTGAACTATTGGAGTGAACAGAAGTTTAGTGACCTTAATGTGGCACACAATAGGTAGAGGAGGAGCCCAGAGAATGATGGCTAATCCGCCCAGATTGGCTGGGAAACTCGACGGAATTTGGCATCAAATCCCCCGGTGACGACAGAAAGAAATCCGGGAGATATTCTTTTGGTTCTTTTGGTAACGTCACGTAGATAGTTTCAAAGAAGTCAGTGGCGGAGCTAGTGGGGAGGGGTGGGGTGGCACGTGCCCCCCCAATGATCCGATCGAAATCCTTAATTTCGATTGGATCATTGGGGTTTATTAGTAATTAATCGGAATTTTGCGACCCACATTGCCACTGTGTAGCATATTATTACGTGCCAGGGACACTACGAGATGATACGACGATAGTCTGAGTCCATAATTGGCAATAATTAACAGCAAAGCAGTTGTAAGTGACTCAGAATTGTGCGCAATTGTGTATACAGTACACGACTTCCCTGAAGGCATACCTTCTGCGAGCGCTATGCCGATCACACACGTGTCGAATAAAAAGCAAGGGACATTTTTACTAACAACTCCTATCATTTTTCATTGCTGGAGGGGTTGCCCCCCCCCTACCTGAAAATCCTGGCTCCGCCACTGCATAGACTTCTTGGAATCTATCTATGACTTCTTTGAACCTATCTCCGTGATTTCTTTAAGTCACGTAGTTAGGTTCAAAGAATTCACGTAGATAGGTGTAAAGAACATATCTATGTGACTTCACCCAAAGAATTTGAATTCCTGAAGTCACGAAAGCTTTCAATCAAGATTTTATCCGGTAGATACAAAAAACGATCTTTTAAGAAAATACATTAAGTATACATTTAAAACATAAATATATAATCTCCCGGAATAGCTTCATTCAGAGCTGGCAAACCTAAGCCCAGATGATGGGCAGGGAGTTTGAGTGGTGATCTCTAACCTGCCGCCAGCAATAATGTGCGACGGAAACAAATCTAACGACATCGCCGACACGTAGTAGCCGATTGGGCGTCTAGTGCGATTGACAAAAGGTAGGCGTTATATATGTGAACGGTTTAAACAAGCCATCTGCTCAGAGCCAACTCAACTCTGCAGACACACAACGTAGACACGCAATATTGCCTCCGTAATTGTCCCATTTGTTGCTTTCATTTCTTCTTTTTTTAAATCCTTTATATTAAGTTCGCTTGCGTGCTTGCTTGCGTGCTTGCTTGCTTGCTTGCGTGCTTGCGTGCTTGCTTGCTTGCTTACGACCGTGCAAATCTTTCGGTCGTTTTTTAACCCACTTCCCGTGATCCAATCGAGCTGACATTTTGCACACAGACTCGTTGTGCGAGACAATTAATGTTCGTGAAAATTTTTTTCCAAAATGTTACACTGTTTAGGGAAAACAAATTAAATATTTAATTACCAATTGCTTAATACTGGCAGACAATCATCTGACCCATAGGTGGCAGCCATCTCAAGCCAGAAGACGAGAGGACTCTAGCCGCCACGCATATAAAGGATTTATAGTGAAAAACTTTGTTTTTACGGGTTATACTTGTTTCTTCCTTCTGTTCGCGTGCGTCGCAGCCGAAGCCCTTATGTGCTTTTCGTGCAACCTGGACACGTCGAACGTCGCGTGCAATCAGCACGGCCCTGAAACGTGCTCCGCCAGCTCCGACACGTGCATGACCACGGAGTCTATCATCGGCGATAGTAAGTCAAACCACCCACCCACCCTCTCTTCATCCCCTACCTCAGAGATTGGATTGCAGGTCCACTCTTTTTCAACTTTCTTGTTCAATAACGATCATCGTATTTCTTTGCGTATGACGTTTTTTCAGGCGCTACCCGATGGTCGAGGTCTGTTACAGCTACGACGAGAGGGCTTTTCAGGACAGGGTTTGTGTAGTTTTGCTGTTCCTCCTCCTCTCTTGAAGCAGCGCAAATTACAGTGATTTACTAAACCAGTGGTTTGCAATACCAGTGGTTTACTATACGAGTGGTTTACTACATCAGTGGTTTCCCACACCAGTGATTTACTATACCAATGGTTTAGCACACCAGTGATTTTCTAACCAGTGGTTTCCCACACCAGCGGTTTCAACCTTTGTTGGCTCCTGGCCTTGTTGAATTTTGTTTCAACCAAGTAACCCCCCTTGCCTGACCCAACATTGTTCTGAGAAATAAATCTACGAATAATGTACATCAGGAAGAGCAATGGAGATAAGGGGGTTTTGTTTCGAGGTGAAATGGAAAAAATAGAGAGTGCAAACACATACAGGAAATGGACAGCGACTCAGCATCCTTCAGTCCAATAACAAGAATGAGTTCAACAAAGGGGGGGGGGGGGGGTGATAATTTCAGACCCAGGAAAGCAACCCTATTTTTCCCATAAGGTCTATTGTTTTTCGATCAGGGTTTTGTCCAATGCGCCATTTTCCAGGAGCATAATCCTCGCATTCGGTGCAGTCTGCCTATACAAATGTGTATTACTGTTATTTATAAAATTTCAAGGACCCTACACTGGGAGGCCGCAAAATAGCCATACAATTTATATACATGAAAATAAAAAGAACGGTAAAAAAACTTAATCGCCCCATACGCAGACGAGTGCCCATTTGCAGGATGGTGTGAGCCTTCCTCGACAAGGAAGAAGGTGCAGAGCCTACTACAACTAAAAACACACCAGGCAGTCACTCAGAACAATAAAATGGCCGTCTTATACCTGCAATAATGACCAGACACAACCTCATCATTTTCCACGTTGCACAACACCTCAGCAAAGTCCCTTTGTTGATAGGATTGAGCGCCAGTGTTAATAGTCTAGACACAATTATTAAACGTATTTTACATAATGAAATGAACTTCAGTATCAACGTCTCAATTGTGAATATCTTCATCGCTGCCAATAACTCATCAACAGTCAATTTACATTTCTGAGTCCCTCTCATTCGATTTACATTCAAGTAATATTGTTTTAACAGTTATATTTAACATTTTAATGGCGCTCGTGTCGTGTGCATTTTACCAGCACGGAGCCACCCCAAATCTGAATTGGGGGTGTTCCCCGTACTCTGAATAGTCTACACACTGCTGGGCGTGGCCAACCTGTGCACGTGAGACTTGAGGTCCTTTCTCTGATCATCATTGCCTTCATTTATAATAATAATAAACGCACCTGGCTCTCCGTAGCAATAACAGCAGCTAAGTACTGCGGCATATGACATCCCGGGACGACTCTCGAACATCTGTCCAAGAATTTGTCAAAAATATGTTTGTTACTGGTCTAAATTCGCACCAAAATGTATGTCACACATTTGGCCATAACTCGACCAAATTCTTTTTTTTATTTTAATTTGGTGGTCTTCATTTGATCTGAGTGCCCTAGGAGGTCTCCAAATTGTATGACTCTCATCCAAAAGATAGCCACTTTAGACACAAACACATTCGATGTTCCTGTATGCTGCGATATGTTGCAGAGTGCACAATTATACGTGCAATTCATCGCATGTAAGTCCACACCAGCTACACTAGCGTGGTACAAGCGCTGTGGTGACATCACGGAAAAAACTGATGACGTACACGTACATCATTGGAACGGGAAAGGTTTAAGGTGCTGCTCGCTAACAGCACTTGCTCCAACAGTCTGTTAAAGGCTACACGGGGGATCTCTGTCTTTGTATGTATGTACAGGTGTGTCTGTGTGTGTGTATATGCAGGTGTGTGAATATCATTTTACTGGGTAGAGATAAAGGTGGCCGTGCGGGCGTATGTGGTTATTTGTTTGCTCTATGGCATTTGTATGTTCTACCCTGGTTTCCTACAAATATTGCTTGTAAATATTGCTGATGGACCAAAAGCGCATATCTTTACATGTGGAGTTCTGCTTTAAAAGCAACAAAAATCATAGTCAATTGTCACGAAACAGTAAATTGGCACGTGCCTGTGGGTGAGGTTTACTAGATTTGAAGCTTTCGTGACTGCAATGATTCATATTCTTAGGTTTTTTTCCGGTAAAGTCACGTAGGTAAAAACATTAAAAAGTAAAATAAAATACTTTACGGTACCACCTGAAGACGGAAGCTTGTGTTGCCTCCGAAACGTAGTGATTTTTATTTTATTTTACTTTTTAATGTTTTTACCTACGTGACTTTACCGAAAAAACCTAAGAATATGAGGTTTACTACTTGGCGCTGGACCAATGCCCTCGTAAAGCTGCTTCGGTTCACGTCGCTCATTTCTCTTGCTGCACATCACACAGGTTACTTCATTTCCAAGCAGTGCGCCATGGCCAGCGTGTGCGCTGCGATGACGGCCGGGAACATTGCCGGCAAATATTTGCATACCTCGTGCTGCTCCAGCAACCTGTGCAACGTCAACTCCGCCCCGCCGCGTTCTGTCCGGGCGGCCTCACTCCTTCTCCTGCTTCCCGTGGTCATCGGCCTCCTCAACGTCATTGGCTGCAGTGGCGTCGCAACTCATCTGTAGTTCACATTCGTCGTTCTCATCATCGCCGTTATCATCGCCGTTATCATCGTAATCATCATGGTCATCATCATCGTCATAATCATTGTCGTCATCGTCATCATCGTCATAATCATTGTCGTCATCATCATCGTCATCATTGCCATAATCGTCGTCATTATCTTGGACATCATCCCAATCACGTGGCAGCGTGGCGCAGTGGCAACACTCGTGCCTCACTGACAGAAGGGGCCTGGGTTCGATTCCCCAAATCGGTCGCCTTTCTGTGTGGAAGTTCAAATGTCAAAATAATGATAATCATAACACTTATTTCGGTTCTGTATGCCATAATACATGCAAATTAGATTTCACAACGCTGTACAATAATTACACGCGTTATTATATTATGGGAAACATTATTTTCATAGCAATTATTAAGTAAATGAAACCCCGCAAGGAAAAATAATAATGAACAAATCTAGAAGTGGTACAAAAGCAAAGGTATAAACAACAAAAAATAGTTATTACAAAAAAGTTATAGAAAGTTACATGTGGTACAAAGGTCTACTAGCTCTTAGCTCCTCACACCAGCAAGAGCAATTAGTCCACTCATTGTGCTGCTCCTGTTCAAAATGTATTTTATCTGGCTTCTCCGAATTCCTCCCGTACATTGTAACTGGAATGGGACAAATATTCCAATGCTGAAAAATCCACTGCAAAGTACTCAATTGCGGTTACATAGAGCAGCAACATCACCCCACCCGGACAGAAATAGCTTGGCTTGACCATCTTGAATCATGATGTCATGAGACTCGGTGAGGAATTATTGGCTAAACAAGTGAAATAAGAACAAAAATAATTAATAGACATGATCAATCGACTGCTGGGTGTATGTATGTTTAACTTCTTTCACACCATACGTAGCCAACTGCGCTAATCGGAATTGCTGGGGTAGGACTACAAAAAAAATCAGTTATAATGAAATTAGTTTTCAATTTAGACAATTAGAAAGTGTACAGCTCCAGTAGCTTCCTAATATCGGAAGGAAGAGTGTCCCAGATGGCCACAGAAGCGTATCTGAAAGTGCGCAATTCTGGGGTTTAAATTTCATATTTCTGTCATGTTACGGCAATGTTGTGTGACAGTAGCTTGCTATTGTGTATTGTACTACATAAACCATTGCGTTTCGGTAAATTTCGTTTTTAAACTTGGTGGCCATTTGTTTTTATTATAGTTCTGGTTTATTCTGTTTGATGGTTTCGTAGAATCCTGGATTGTTGTACAAGTTAAAATATGAATAAAGATTTGTGGATATATTGCTATTTCGAATGTGGAATTTATAACAGGTAGCTGTGAGTTTTCAACTTAATGTAATAGTTATCATGATTGATTAAATGTTGATATAGTCATTGGGAAATATAAGCTGCACAAATAAATACACATATGAATGAGTGTGTATTCATTATTTTAAAAAATGTTGAATATCATTGAATAAATGCCGATAACTATATTACTCTGAATGTGCCTTATCTTGTCAGTTATCTGATCAATAGTGCCCTTTAATAATATAATTCTTTCACTTGCACATCCCACTACACTCTACATTAAAATTATTAATAATGGTTTCTACCCCTGTGACCTCTTTTTATACAGTCGTCTTGGTCACGTAAATTTAGTTTTTTAAATATACACAGTCAACGGTCGATTATCATCGCTAATGACATTTTCCGCAGATATCTATGCAAAAAACCACAAATATACGAGTATAAATTAAGAACGAATACTAACGATCAACTGATCAATGCGCGTGCTCAGCGATAAGGAGCCGTCCATAAATTACGTCATGCACCTTGGGGGGGGGGGGGGAGGTCAGATATTTGTGACGATGTGTGACGACGGGAGGGGGGGGTGAGAAATGTGACGTCACATCAAAATGCACAACTTTTAATAAATGTTTTCTCCTACAACATCAGAGTGCAGTACCACATTAAATACGCACTACAATGACAATAGTTTAAAGCGATTTGAAGCATGTTTCATTTTTTTGAGAGGGGGGGGCAGAGCTTTGTAGCGTCATATTTGAGGGGGGGGGTCTGACTTTTTGCGACGCCGTGTGACGAAGGGAGGGGGGGGGGTAAAAAAATCGTCCAAAATTGCGTGACGTCATTTATGAACGGCCGCTAATAACACTTCCCTGCTCCCGCCCAGCAGAAGACCTGCCCACTAAGTGGATGATAGCTAATTCAATAACCCCATTGTCAAACCCAAGAAACCCAAGACGTCCTTCAAAATGCCTTTCAACTATCCCAAGAACGAGAATTGGAATAGATGACAAATCCTTTGCCTTTGCAGCATCAACGTTTTGGAACGACATGGTTTCCTCTATGAACATCATGAATCCTCATTAAATCAACATCCTGAAGCAGAATATTTTTTCCACCACATTAAGAAACATGCATTTAGAATATTTTAGATGCGATAAATTTCCACGTGATGATAAAGCCACTTCGTTGATCTGTCATTTGTGGCCATATCGTTTCTTATAAAGAGCTACATAGCTCAGTGGATCTTACCGATTAAGATTTTTAAAAATGTTGTTTTATTTGTAGATCTACCTTTTTAAATCAAATCTTTTTTAATTCCACATCCTCTCTCACGTCATACATTGCAACATCCTGACGTTCTGAATGGTATTTACTCGGGACATCGATGGTATAAGGCACGCCACACTCATCGGAGCAGGTGGGGGGAGGTGATTTTCTTTGGGGAATTATTGCCGTTCTGGGCTCCGCTATTTAAGACTGGTCTAAGGTTTAGGAATGGACCCAGTGTACGTGTGTATTTTTCTTCCTTGTCACTGAGCTTATAGGCCAGATGCTCCAGTGCTGACATTGGGCGAATTAATTCAGCCATTGAGTATGGGAGAGGGGTTAGAGATTCTTCCACATAGTCAATACGTCATGGGACCTCCTTTGCCAGTATCAATATATAAGAATGGGGTTTCCCCTTTTTTCTGGCAACAAAACAGGTGTGAAAATGTTAAAACACCCATTTGAGGTTGAGTCGACCTAGGGGTGGCCCAGGACCAGTTCAAATAATCGTCATCATTATAGTGTAGCGGTTATCGATATAACCCTAAAAAAAACTCTATTACGGATGATATTGGTCGCGAAAGCCAACGTGTTAAGGTGATATTTTTGTCGTGAGATTGTTGCCATTTCCTGCCTAAAATATAAAAAAAATCACTAACACATAGGATGGACTTTTTATTATTTTTTTACAATAATGTCTAATAGTGTATTGTATTACATTGCTCTGCTTTTCTTTATTTACCATTTCCTGTTTCATTGTATGTAATGGCAGAGATTAGGGATAAATAAAGTACAACCATAACCACAATAATATAAACATAAATCTATTTTATAGCAATATATTGGGGGGGACATTTTGAGCATATGTGTCCCCTCCAATATATATTATAATTACGGCCTCGTCACACACACGGATACACACGGACCCGTCCCCACACACCCACAGGCGAATGCGCAACCCCAGGTAATAACAGGACCCATTTTGCGGTTCGTTTGAATTGGGTGGTTGCGTTGATTTCAAACGATCATTGGCTCGCCGCAACCACAATTGCGAGCTATAATCCGCACTACTGCATATCCGTCTTCTGGGTCGAGAGCCGATTTTGCAACAGCGTTAAAGCTATTTTGTATTGAATACCAAGCGCTTGCCGTGTGCGAGGCAGAGATTGTGCAAATACAAATGTTCGGGCTGACTGGAAAGACAAAGATCCACCACCCACACCCACTCAGTCACCATCCACTCGGTAACCACTTAATTGCACCCGATTCAAGAGCCGAATGGCTCACAGGGCTATACCAAATAAATGAAACTGAAATGAAACTGAAACATCACTCACCTACTCTCTCACCCACCCACTCACTCGCTCACTCACTCCCCCATCAGTGAGGCAGATGTGATAGCTGCCTCCGCTGGTGCTTTTTTATTGCAGTTTCATGACGAGAGCAGCGAGCCTAAATATCTTAATACACATACGTGAAATAAGTTGCCTAGAGTATGGAAGGCGAGGACATGAAATGAAGGTGTCTACAAACATTACATTGGTGACACACTGAGATAGTAGCAGGCACGCGCTTATTTCCCGCGCTCCATCCAGGTACTGAGAGATTGCACAATCAGAGGGGAGGCTGAGCGTGTCGCTGCCTCACCCCTCGTCTCTTCCTGTATTTGCAGCGGAGTTTCGCAAATTTGGCGATTTTGACTATGAAAATGATTGAAATCGTACAGAAATGACATTTATAACACAGATCAGTGGAAAAATATTAATATTTATTTAATTTAATTATTCTTTTATTTTAATTTTTCGTAACAGCTATCTTCATTCGGGTATGACAGGTGAGGCTCTGCCTCCCTTGACCACACGTCCCTGCATCACACAGAGATCCAAAGACTCATTATTCAGAGACCCCATAGACTCATCTCGCAGAGACCATTAGATTCACCACACAGAGACCTACAGACTCAAAATATATAGACCCATAGACTCATCAAGATAGAGATATCATTGACTCATTGACTTCAATGGCTTTAGCTTCAAGCTTGTGCTACGGAATCGCAGGAATAACTGACGCAATCGGCCAATGTGTTCGTCGAAGGCCTGGCTGAAGACATTAACATCGTCCACGCATACGATACCACTGTAGGCCTGGTAAGGCCACCTCAATTTTGGACTGGAACATCGCCGATGCAGTCTGAAGGGCCATAGGAAGGCAGTTTAATTTCAACAGTCCAAGTAGGCTGAGAGTCCACGTCCATTGGGACCTGCCAGGAACCAGACAATAAATCCAGTGTACTGAAGAATTTTGCTCCCGCCAGTGCATCAAGTGCCTAATCTATACGTAGTAGGGAATATGTGTCAGCAAGCGTAATGGTGCTGACGTGGCGGAAGTCTACGCAGATTCTCAGTGACTCTCTGACTTTATTTTACTAAGACCACCGGCACCCGCCATGGACTTTACGATGGGGAAATGATGTCGGCCCTCAGCATTTCCTGCACCGCTTTCTGGTTGTGTCCTTTTTCCATCGGGCTCATCCTATATGTGTTTAGGTGCAGGGGTGTGGCATCCCCCATGCTGATGTAGTGCTGCAGCAGATGCGTACGTCCTCGGGCATGGCCCCGCAAGCCGGTCCATCCGCGAGTCGTCCCCTCTGTCCTCGGACTTGCAAATGCTTCCCACGAGCTCTGGCCCTGTCCCAGGGACTCCCATTGTCGGTTTCCCTGTCCGAGGTGTTCAGCACTTGAATGAACAGATGCTGATTCCCCTGGACAATCGTCTCGGCCCCCACCAGTGCGCTGGAGACACCAAGATGGGTGAGTCCGGCTGGGACCATCACGATGGGAAACCAATATCGCAGCGGTCTCAGCATCTGGGCTGCCGTGGAAATAGAGACAGACTCACTGACCAGAGCCTGCACGTGCGGTACCCCCCGGCCGGCTCCTTCCGCCTTCAGGAAATGGAGATGCATTCCCTGGTGCAGGGTGGGCCCCCCAAGTGATGTGGGGTGGGCCCCCCATGTGATGTGGGGTGGGCCCCCCATTGTGGTGCAGGGTGAGGGTGCCCCACCCGCCCCACCCGCCCCACCTGCCCCACCTGCCCTTTTCAGGCCACGTCTCGCTCTGCCGCATTGCGAGGAGGAGGTGCGCGAGAAGGCTCTGCGGCGCGCCAGCAAGCGCGTGTGCTACCGCCGCCCCGGGGCCATTGGCCCTGGCAACCTGCCGGCGTCACTGATAAACAGCGGCGTTATGTCCCGTGGCGAAGTCAACACCGGGCCCCGGCGCCACCCCCGGCCGCGATGCCACCCACAGCAATGGCTCCCACTCAGCTGCTGGAGTTCCGTCCTGAGCTGCCGTGGTGATGGGCCGACTGCTCCATCCCATGGTGTCCACCACCTGGCCCACCGGTCGCGCCCAACTCATGGCCTGTTGATGGGCCTGCAGGATTCACGCAGCCCACAGTGAGATGCCCTCGTCAGGGCATCACCACCGGCATAACAACGCCGGCACGGCAAGCGTAGGCGGCAAGGTGCTCGACCACGAGGTTCTCGAGTTCCTCGTCGGCCAGGCGAGGGAAGGCTCTCCTTGCCAACACCAGCAGTGCACCCCTGTAGGCTAGAGTTTAACTCTCTGGCAGAGGTCGCAAACGGGTTTTGATTCCTTACCCGTACCCGTACCCGGCCGCACCAGGGTCGCAAACGGGTACCCGTACCCGTACCCGGCCGTACCCGTACCCTATCGGGTACCTGATTGCGACCTCTGGGATGAAGCCATGTTGTAGGCGCGGGTGGGTTGATTCTAGGAACTTGAATTGTGAGAAGAGACAAGACGTTGGGAAATGAGTGACAAACAGTTACTCACCAGTGACTCACGGTTTACCCGTACCCGGCCGCACCAGGGTCGCAAACGGGTACCCGTACCCGGCCGGGTACGGGTAGCCGGTTATCGGGTAGGGTACGGGTATCGGGTACCCGGTTGCGACCTCTGCTCTCTAGCCCCCACTGGCGGTCCTGAAACTGTCTGAAGGCGCCCCAGGCAGGTGCCTGTAGCGTGGTCTTGCTGCGCACGGGAAGGGAGGTGTAAGAGGCGAGCACATCATCATCCAGAACGGATGCCAGCACTCATAGCACCTCCTGTCCGACCATTTTATTCACATTTTTGTAACTTATTTGTTTGCCTTTCCTATACTTTGCACTGCTATCGCGTTTGTATTGTTAATTGTTGCTGTAACGATCTGACTCCCGTGCCCCTGACTGGACGTCAGTGGAAAAACACATTTATTGATCATCGAATTTACAACCCCAACCTAAATAAGCAATTTGATTCTGACTGATTTCCACCACCTGTTACAAGGGGCGTCGTTGGCGACGTTTCATCACCATGAAATGACAAGAAAAGTTGCAAACTCGAGCAAGATGAATTTAATTTCAAAAAGTAAAAACAATTAAAAGTCGCCCATCTTCCAAGCAACATACTGCATGCATTTTGTTTGACAACTGTGTTTTGAGTGGGAGATCATAGAACGACAGGTATATTCATTGTAATCAGGTACAGGCGATATCCCTCGATTCACGAACGTTTCGGTTTACGAAGTTTCGCGTGAACGCGATTTACAAATGACAGACGCTTTTTTGTCTTTCGAGTAAAACTAAATTGATTTTGTATTGTAACCAGGTGTAATGCACCACGACTGAGCTGGTGTAGCTCTCTTTCAGAAGCGACCTGGGCCATCACAAACGATGGCAGCTTAACCAAATGGCATGACGTCATCATCATCATCTGGAAATTTCTAGCAGCAGGCAAAAACCCTGAACGCACGGTGATGTTGATACTAAGTGTGAAGATGAAACATGAAACATCGGATGACCACGGAGAGAGAGACACGCACATTCCAAATACAGCAGCAGGCATCGTCAGGGTAGGGATCAAACTCATGGCCTTCTGTAGACCAGGCAAGGGAAGTTAACAGCTCCCGAGCCATGGTGGCGCAATCAACTAAATCGAATTTCTACGTAATAGAATTTCCTACAACACTCGCCCATCTAGCGAGAAAGCCACCGGAGAGGCTACGTCATCAGACATCTGCGACAAAGAGCTTCGTAGGTCATCAGATTTCCTCCCCCTCTCCGTCTAAATAAAGATTCCGATCTGCGACAGTATTATGGTATCCCTATACAGTGCAACGGTAACGTCTCCACATCAGCCTTTTCCAGTCATTCCAACATGCAGCAATATGTTTTTATTAATAGTTCTTTCAAATGTATTATTATTTAATCGTTGTAATATTCACGTTCTTTAATAATGTTATTATACTTTTTTGCATCCTCAAAAGTGACAAAGATGTATTGCAATTTTTTTTAAAGTTGGAATGACTGTCCGATACATCCCCCGAAATTTTAGTATTAAACCAAACGGGTTAAGCCGTTGCGAATTACAAATTTAGTTTTATGCTCGTTAGTCTGTTTTTTAGATGTTCGAGAAACGCATCCCATTCTGTAAATCGAGCGGAACCTTGTACAGGCCATTGGAAAGGGTCACATAAATCTACTACCCCACCCACCACCCCAACCTTGAGTATAGGACTTCCTTTCACCCCTCAATCATCCGCACACTCTGTGAACACCCTACATGACCCGTTTCCAGTCCAGGTTAAAGACCTTTCCATTATCTTCTGCCATACAGGATCAACTGTCTGGCTCTCGGTAAATTATGGTGTATCATTCCCCACTTGGGTATATGTGTAATGGGTCTATGGGTATCTATGTGATGAGTCTATGGGTGCCTGTGTGATGAGTCTACTTGTCTCTATGTATATCCATACGTACGTGGAACTTCTTTAGCAGCATAACGCAACAATCAAGACGATTTAAACGTTGCACAGCTCCACTGGTGGAAGCGTTGTGAGACAACCGAATGGAAGTACACAAGTGATTGGACCGAACCCAGGCACGTGGGGTGGGGGGTGCGGCTGTGACGTCACGACCTACACCAGAGCCCTGCTGACCACGACGCTGATGGCCACGCCCAGCAGCGCCAGGGTCACGTGAGCTGCGCCCAGCGGGCGAGGGGCGGCGTTGACGTTGCAGCCGTCACTCTGGCAGCACGTGGTGAGCAGCGTGGCTCCGTTGGTGGTGCCGTCGAGTAATTTGGAGGTGTCGCATTCGGCCTTGGTCACGCACCCCTTGGTGACGACGTAGGCTGGGCGGAAGAGAAAGCACGCGGATCTCATTGTAAGTAAAAAAGTATGTAATTAAAAACACGTAAAAAAGTTTTTTTTTATTTTACCAGGAGCAAGCCCCTCAGTGCTGCCATGTAGCCCTTTTTCAGAAGTGATCTGTACGTTTGTGTTGAATTGCTTTCGTGTCGTACATAGCCCACCGTGCTAACTGCAGGTGCGTGAGGAACGAAAACAAACTAAAACACAAAAAGTAGTTTTAAGAAATGAGTGTCAATCTTGAAGATGATTCAAAATTGTATAGCCCTCAGTGGCTTCCTAATATTGGAAGTAAGAGCGTTCCAGAAGGGGTGGCGTTGCGTGGGATCGTAGATCCCCCGCAGCCCCCCCCCCCCCTCTTGGCAGTACGGGGTACCCTTGCAGATGGACCTCCTCTACCACTGCCGGTAAGCGTGGCCCATCTACGGCACTTCACAGAGACCCCATAGACTAATCACACACAGAGACCCCATAGACTCACCACACACAGAGACCCATAGGCTCACTTCACAGAGACCCATCCGTATAGTAAATACACAGAGACCCATAGAATCATCACCGCACAGAGACCCATAGACTCTTTACACAGAGAGATGCATAGACTCACCATACAGAGATCCACAGCCTCAGAGACAAATGGGATCGGGGAAGACACTCCTACAAACATATTTGCATATCCCATACAAATAGTTACGGGTGGTGTGCAAATATATTTGTCGGAGCTCGTTGCTCAACATCAGCAAATGTGGCTGGCACGCGAAGTGGGGTGAGTTGCAAAGAAACACACGCATCTGCATATACACACACACTCACACCTGAATGTACACACACACACCTGTACATACACACAAACACACATGCGCATACACACACCTGTACATACACATACCTACATATACTCACACCTGAATGTACACACACACCTGAAAATATATATATACACACACCCTGCATATGCACACACTCACACCTGCATGTATAAACACACCTGCATGTACTCACACACCTGTATGTACACACATAGACACCTGCATGAACACACACTTGCATATCAGTCCCTCCAGAAAAACGCGATTATGCGATCGCAAGATTCCACGCAAAATCAGCCAAAGTCCGCATATTTATGCGGGGGGCGCGTTTTTTCAAATACGCCGCACTTTCGCCGCATAAATTGCAGATTTCCGCGCGCAAAATATGCGGGCTTGCATGATTTTTCGTTGCAAAAAGTCACATATATCTTACTTCACACAAGCTCAGCCATTTCCCCTGTTGCCATGGGAACGTTATGAAGTGTTAGAGGCTACGTAGTTAATTTTATTCAGGAGTTTATGCAACTTTACAGTTGTAAGATTGCACTTTTTTGTTAGTAGTATGTAAATTTACATTACTGTAAGACTGTACTGTTACTGTATTGCTTACGTTACTGTGCACTGAAAACACTTATTTTAACAGATGTCTGTTTTGTATAGCTACCTCTGTAAAACAGGAAGCACACATTTTATTTTTTTATATTTTATTTATTCATTTTTACAGAAGTTGTAGCATATTCATTTTGTAAAGCTACAGAACTTGTTCGACTCAATGTTTTGTAAGTTTGAGCCATCTGTTTGTTAAGGTCTGAAATAAAACAAGATGAGAACTTAAATATTCCCAGCACTTTCTGTGATGTAGTATGCTTGCTTATCATAGGAAGTAATAAGAAATGACTCTTTACATTAAAGTAGTAGCCTAGTGAATAGGGTGTTGGGGGAATCACTTTTTTTTTCTCTTTTTCATCAAACCGCAGTTTTTGCAAGTTCCCGCAATTTTTGCAAGTTCCCGCAATTTAATCGCATAAAATTGCATAAATATCCCGCATATTCCATCGCATTTTTTAAGAAAACGTGCCGCATAATCAAGGATTTTTGCCCGCAACAATTACCAAAAAACTCCGCGTTTTTCTGGAGGGACTGGCATATACACTCACACTTGTAAATACACATACCTGTACCTATACACTCAGACCTGCACGTACACACACACCTGTACATACACACACACACACCTGTACATACACACACCCGTACATATACAAATATAAAGGCAAGTACAAAGATCCCCCGTATAGCCTTGACAGACTCTCGGGGCAAGTGCTAATATCGAGCACCTATGAAGGCCGGAACCGCAAGCAAGGGGGTGGTTGTCCAACACCACGCCCGGCTGCCTTTGTCTCCCCAGTCCAGTAGCGATATTTATACATCGCTACTGGTCCTCATTTGAGGCTGAGTCGACCTAGGGGAGGCCCTGTACCGGTGTAGATAATTGCCACTGGTGTTGGCTGTGAGCCGGAATCCAACTCGGGACGCCTGGTTCGTAGCGCAGTGTAGCGCTAACTATTGCTCTAACGCTACACACACACAGACCCTATAGACTCCCCACACAGAGACCCATAGACTCGCCACACACAGAGACCCATAGACTCGCCACACAAACCCATAGACTCATCACACACAGAGACCCCATAGACTCATCACCACACAGATACCCCATAGACTCATCACCACACAGATACCCCATAGACTCAACACCACACAAAGACCCATAGACTCATCACACACAGAAACCCATAGACTCAAAACAAAGTTAGATCGAACGCGCATCATGGGCCTGATAGTCACTGCTGAACGCAAGGGGTCCACCCTCATCCCCAGCTTTGCGAGAATAAGCAACGCGCTTACAGGAGCCCTTGTAGAGGAGAATTGTCGCGCAGGTGTCCTGCGATTCGGAACACGTGGTGGGGCCGCCCGCGTTGCACGCCGTGTTGTCGGCGTTCGTGCTGCACGAGTAGCATTTGAGGCTGTGCCCTGTATATCCACAGACACAAGATCAACACCGATCATCATTATAACGGCAGATGATCACCATCATCATCATTATCACGGCAGACGATCACCATCATCGTCACAGCAGACGATCACCATCATTATCGTCACAGCAGACGATCACCATCATCATCACGGCAGACGATCACCATCATCATCATCACGGAAGACGATTACCATCATCATCATAACGTTGCTGCACTACGCACCGGGCGACCCAAGTTTGATTCCCGCTCACGGCCACCAACACCGCAGGTGGCGATCATCTGAAGCGGTACCCTGGGGCCTCCTCCCACGAGGTCGACTCGTCCTCAAATGGGTTCCTGGTGCAGTGGTGGTGTGGAGGAAACATCGCCACTGGGGAGACAAAGGCGGCCGGGCGTGGTGCTGGCCACTCACAGCCTCGTATTTCCTTGCCGGCCGTCATAGGTGCTGCTACTCGCTAATGGCGCTTGCCCCAACAATCTGTTCAGGCCAAATGGGGGATGTTTGTCTTTGTACGTGGTGTGTACAGGAGGCTCGTTGAGGACGCTACCACTTTGGAAGCTGGAGGCAGTCGCCCATCCAACATCAAGGGAGGGCTGGTGGAGCGACGCGGGCAGATAAAACTCAGCGAGTTGGCGCAGTTGGGGGGCACAGGTGCTGCATCTGCACAGTCATCTCAGTCGGTCAATGCATGTCAACTGCTGGGTCTGTCCCCGTGACCTCCTCCTCATGCACCTAGCCTGGCACAGTAGTGAACTCATGGCACCGGCAGGGGCTGTCCGTGATCTCCCCCTGCACCTAGCCTGGCACAGAAGTCAACCTATGGCACCTGCAGGGTCTGTCCCGCGACCTCTCCCTGCACCTAGCCTGGCACAGCAGTCCCACAGCACCTGCTGGGTCTGACCCGAGACCCCCAGTCATCGAGCCTTCACGTGGTAGCCTCAAAGTGCACCTAGCCTGGCACAGGCCGCCGTCACCGCCACTTTGTGGCATTTTCGAACACATTTTCGCAACTCGCCGCCTGATGAAGCTGCTGATTGTTGTTGCTGTTGTAGTTGTGGCTGTTTTGGTTGTTGTGGTTGTTGGTGTGGTTGATGAAGACCGTTTGTTTTGCAATCGAAACGTCGTGGGTTTTTTTGCTTTTATTATTTTCATTATTATTTAGATTTTATCTTATTTTTTTTGTTTACGTCAATTCACGGAAAGAACCAAGAGTATGAATTCCTGCAGTCACGAAAGTTTTAAGTGGGAAAAAGAAGTCAACTTAACTTCGAAAGGGAATGTGAGCGTGCATACGCAGCACCAAACACGCCCAACACACAGGGTGTACCGAATAGGGCTTAACGATTTGGGGAAAATATCTAATTGCGATTTTTCTGACAGATTTATTGCGATTTGATGGAGCATTACCACATGATACCATCAAAATATTAACTGCTCTGTATATTCCCATACAAGGATGAGAACTTAAAAGATATTAAATTCTTTCAACATGTATTTATTAAAAAAAACAGTTGAAATATAAAACTCAAACAGAGAACAATTGTTAAGTTCAATAAATAAGAAAGTAATAGGACTTTTCAAATCGCAAAAAATCACAGCCTTTGCTATTTGTGATCGCATTGTTTCAAATTGCGATTTTGATTTGAAATCGATTAAACGTTAAGCCCGAGGATTACCGAAACTAAACACACCCAAAACATTAAAACGTCGAATAGCTGTGTGGCTATTGGAAATACTGCAGTGACATCGATTTAAATTATACGCGTTAGATTTACTATGTCGTTGTAACTTGTTGTGGATATTTATTGGGTACTTTCTGTTTCTGATATAAGTCATGTACAGCAGCAGGCATCGTCAGGGTCCGGGATCGATCCCACGTGCTCCTGTATACAAGTCAAGGTAGTTAAAATCTCCACGGGGAGAGAGACACACACAGAGACTCAAAATATACAGCAGGAGGCATTATCAGAGTCCGTGATCGAAGCCATGCTCCTCCTGTATACCAGGCGAAGTAGTTAACATCTCCACAGGGAGAGAGACACGCAGAATCCAAATATACAACATCAGGCATCATCAGAGTCTAGAATCGAACCCACGACCTTCTGTATACCAGACGAGGTAGTTAACATCTCTATGTAGTGCAGTATCGGCGTTGCTTTGGTGTTGTGGCAATAACCACAACTCGCCACGCAGAAGTTGTCTCACCTCCGCTCACGAACAGCAACGCCACGAGGAGCAGACCCGGCAGGTATAAAGTCATGGTTCTAGTCGTGGAGCCTGGCGTTGTGGCGCTTTGGGATGGAAAGTCGGCGAGTTGAGAGAGACAGAGTTACAGAGTCAGAGAGAGAAAGAGAGAGATATCCCTAGAGCAGTGACTGCGTCTGCGTGGTGAACTGGGAGACTTTATAAGCCCCAGAGACCAATGGGATCGGGGAAGACACTCCTACAAACATATTTGCATATCCCATACAAATAGTTTCGGGTGGTGTCAAAATATATTTGTTGGTGGCTCGTTGCTCAACATCAGCAAATGTGGGATGTGGTGGGTGGCCAGCGTCACGCGCTCACGGCCGCCTTTGCCTCTCACCCAGTGCAATCATGTACACCCACGAACACCTGCATGCACACAGACACCTGTACATATACACTAACAACTGCATGCACACACGCATGTACATATGCACAAACCTGTAGATATACATACACACCTGCATGTACATACACTCACGCCTGCATGTACAACAACAACCGCCATTCGCCACTAAGTGGCGGTGACGTCACCACGATGTTTGTGCCAGGCCATGTGCACCTTGAGGCCACGTGAAGTGTCGAACGCCCGCTGACAGAAGGTCACGGGGCAGACCCAGGTGCCACGGGTCGACTGACCGAGATGACCGAGATGACTGGCTGATACACCACCTGTGCCCCCTACTGTGCCAACTTGCTGTACTTTAGCCACCCGGCGCTCCGCTCGTTGTTGTGAGCGTCGTTCCTCCGCCCTCCGTTGTTGTTGGAGGGCGACTGCCTCCAACTGCCCAGTAGCGTCCTTCACGAGCCTCCTCCACAGAGGCCGATCTTGACACCGCTGGTACCAGTCATCGGCAAGTCCACTCAGCTCCACGTCCTCCTGTACCACATCACTCCATCTCTTCTCTAGCCCATGCCGCGCCCGTTTAGCCCCCTCGATCCGGCCGAACAAAAGCTGTTTAGGCATGCGGTGGCTGGGCATGCGGGCTACATGACCCAGCCAACGCAGCCTTGCCTGCCGGAGGAGCTCACCGATGGGACTTTGCCCAGATCTTTCAAGGATTTGTGAGCTCCTCACACAATCCAGCCTGGTTAAACCCAGGATGGATTGTAGGCAGGCCAGCCTAAATCTTTCCAACCGGCGAAGATGCTCCATTAGGGGGTCCACGTTTCGCAAGCATAGAGAAGGAAGGGAATGACTGTGGCCGAGAAGACCTGAAGCTTCGTGCGGAGTGACAGACCAGGTAGCTTCCACACAGCGTTACGCAACCGATGAAAAGATAATGCCGCTCGACTGATTCTGAGTGAGATCTCTGCTGCCAAACCGGAGCCGGTCATGAGCACACTGCCCATGTATGGGAAACTCTCAACTCTCGCCACAAATGCCCCACATACCTGGACATCCACACACAAACATACCTGTACATACACAAACCTGCATACACACGCACATACACACCTGTACATAAACACACACCTGTACATACACACACACCTGCAAATACACAAACACACCTGTCTGTACATACACACACATTCCTAAAAATATATACCCACACCTGCATATACACAGACTCACACCTGCATGTTCGCACACCTGTACATACACACGCACCTGTATATACACATAAACACCTGCATATACCCACACACACCAGTATATACACTCACACCTGCATGTACACACACCTGTACATACACACACCTGTATATACACATGCCTACATATACACACACCTGAATGTACACACACCTGCATATAAACTCAAACCTGCATGTACACACACACCTGTACATACACACACATCCGTACATATACAAACATAAAGGCAAATACAAAGACCCCCCGTATAGCCTTGGCAGACTCTAGGGGCAAGTGATGTTAGCTAGCACCTATGAGGGCCGGAACGGCATGCAAGGGGGTGGGTGTCCAACACCACGCCCGGCTGCCTTTGTCTCCCCAGCAGCGATGTTTATGCATTTGAGGCTGAGTCGACCTAGGGGAGGCCCAGTACCGGTTTAGATAATTGTCGCATGTTTTGGCCGTGAGAGGGAATCCAACTCGGGACGCCTGGTTCGTAGCGCAGTGTAGCGCTAACTTTCTCTATCGCTGTACACACACAGACCCATAGACTCACCACACAGACACCCATAACATCTCCACAGAGAGAGAGAAAGACACAGACTACAAATATACAGCAGACGTTAGCGTCCGGGATCAAATCCACAACCTCCTGCATACCAGGCGAGGTAGCTAACTTCTCCACGGGGAGCATAATCCAATTGCGAGTCCTGAGACTCCGTGATGAGTACCATCGACAATCGAGCTGTGGATAGACGACGGCTGATTTCAAGTTCTTCTCTTCCGACCCAACTCCCTCTTAGTTGCCCCAAAAGTTTGTTAAGGCGGTATGGGGGATGTTTATCTTTTTTCTTTGTCAGCCCAGTTTCGATTCCCTATACGGGCGTCGTATTCATGTCAAATTCCCTCTAAAGCTGTTTTTTTAGAAACGCATTTTTTCGTGCTCAGGTTTGTTGTCCTTCCACCCGCACCTCCGATTAGCGCGGTTGGCTACTTCTGGCGTCAACGAAGTTCAGCATACGCACATACATAGAGACCCGTAGACTCATCACACAGAGACCTGTAGACTCATGACACAGAGACGCAAAGACTCATCACACAGAGACATGTAGACTCATCACACAGATCCATATACTCATCATACAGAGGCCCATATACTCATCACACCGACCTCGGCAGATATTGAGGATCTGTTCCGAGAAGTGAGTTGGCGTGACATCGATGGGAGTGGCATACCTCTGATGGGAAGAGAAGTGAACTACTGTAATAGAAAACCGGGTTGGCTTTCAAATGGTGCGTGTATGTTGAACTTTTGCAACGTCCCTAGTATGTATGTATCTACCCATAGACTCACCGCACAAAGACCGATAGACTCATTTTGCAGAGACACATAGACTTACCACACAGACCCATACGCTCAAATGAAGAGACCAAAACACTCACCACACAAGAGACCCATACCCTCACCACAGAGAAACCCGTAGACTCTCCACACCGAGACCCATAGACTAATTTTGCAGAGACCCAAATACTCACCACACAGAGTCACATTGGCTCATTATGCAGAGACCAATAGACGCACCACACAGAGACCCATACCCTCACCACACAGAAACCCGTAGACTCACCACACCGAGACCCATAGACACATTACACAGAGACACATAGACACATGACACAGAGACCCGTAAACTCATCAAGCATAGACCCATAGACTCACCACACATAGTCCCATAGACACACCACACAAAGACCAATAGACTCATCAAGCAGAGACCTATATCCTCACCACACAGAGAACTGTATACTCATCACACAGAGACCCATGGACTCTTCACACAGAGACCCATATACTCATCACACAGACCCCGGCTGATATTTAAGATCTGTTCCGAGAAGTGAGTTGGCGTGACAGCGATGGGAGTGGCATACCTCTGATGGGAAGAGAAGTGAACTACTGTAATAGAATATCGGGTTAGCTTTCAAATGGTGTGCGTATGTTGAACTTTTGCAACGTCTCTAGTATGTATGTATCTACCCAGAGACTCACCGCACAAAGACCCATATACTCATTTTGCAGAGACCCAAATACTCACCACACAGAGTCGCATAGGCTCATTATGCAGAGACCAATAGACTCACCACACAGAGACCCATACCCTTACCACACAGAAACCCGTAGACTCACCACACCGAGACCCATAGACACATTACACAGAGACATATAGACACACGACAGAGATACCCATAAACTCATCAAGCATAGACTCATAGACTCACCACACATAGTCTCATAGACACACCACACAAAGACCGATAGACTCATCACACACAGAGACCTATAGACTCATCACACAGAGACCAATAGACTCATCAAACACATACCCATAAACTCATCACATTGAGACCCATAGACTATTCACGCAGAGACCCATAAACTCAACACATGTAGACCCGTAGACTCATCACACAGAGACCCGTAGACTCATCACACAGAGACGCAAAGACTCATCACACAGAGACATGTAGACTCATCACACAGAGACACGTAGACTCATCACACAGAGACGCATAGACTCGCCACACAGAGACCTGTAGACTCATCACACAGAGACACGTAGACTCATCACACAGAGACATGTAGACTCATCAAACAGATCCATATACTCATCATACAGAGGCCCATATACTCATCACACAGACCTCGGCTGATATTTAAGATCTGTTCCGAGAAGTAAGTTGGCGTGACATCGATGGGAGTGGCATACCTCTGATGGGAAGATAAGTGAACTACTGTAATAGAAAACCGGGTTAGCTTTCAAATGGTGCGTGTATGTTGAACTTTTGCAACGTCTCTAGTATGTATGTATCTACCCAGAGACTCACCGCACAAAGACCCATATACTCATTTTGCAGAGACCCAAATACTCACCACACAGAGTCGCATAGGCTCATTATGCAGAGACCAATAGACTCACCACACAGAGACCCATACCCTTACCACACAGAAACCCGTAGACTCACCACACCGAGACCCATAGACACATTACACAGAGACATATAGACACACGACAGAGATACCCATAAACTCATCAAGCATAGTCTCATAGACACACCACACAAAGACCGATAGACTCATCACACACAGAGACCTATAGACTCATCACACAGAGACCAATAGACTCATCAAACACATACCCATAAACTCATCACATTGAGACCCATAGACTATTCACGCAGAGACCCATAAACTCAACACATGTAGACCCGTAGACTCATCACACAGAGACCCGTAGACTCATCACACAGAGACGCAAAGACTCATCACACAGAGACATGTAGACTCATCACACAGAGACACGTAGACTCATCACACAGAGACGCATAGACTCGCCACACAGAGACCTGTAGACTCATCACACAGAGACACGTAGACTCATCACACAGAGACATGTAGACTCATCAAACAGATCCATATACTCATCATACAGAGGCCCATATACTCATCACACAGACCCCGGCTGATATTTAAGATCTGTTCCGAGAAGTGAGTTGGCGTGACAGC